AAACTGGATCAATTTAAAAGGTTGGAAATTATAATTGGAATAATAGTTCTCTTCCAGTAATAGAACCACAAAGCTAAGTCTAGATAGTCTTTATTTAAAGATAGACTATTGAAATTTAACCAGAGAGGCTCATCAATGAAACCGACAATGTCTAAGGAATCAGGGGAAAGTGCTCCAGATGGAGGGAAAACCAGGTGCAGAGACCTATAGATATGAAAAAACTTGGGGTGTTCACAAAAGATTTTGGACATAAAGACTAGAGATGAAATCCCAAATTCTTTAAGGAGGTTCTTACTATGAATTTTTATAAGCATCTTCCCATTCTGACTTTTTAAAAAATTAGTTCAGGTAGTTTAAGAAAGTAACTCTTAGGGAATTGGGTGAGTGGCTCAGTGGTATAGCACACACTTGTTAGCATTCATGAGGCCATTGCTTGGAATGAAAAGGGAGAGGGAAGGGAAGAAGGAAAGAAGAAGAAGAAAGAAGGAGGAGGAAGAAGGAAAAGGATAAAGTAACTTGTAGAGTAATAAAATCATCACCTCAACTTTAAGGATAAGCTTTTTCATTTTTTTGCAGTTCTGGAGTTTGAACTGAGGGCCTCGCACTTGCTAAGCAGATGCTCTACCATGGAACTATGTGTCTGGGCTGGGCTCCTCATCTCTGCCTCTCAGCTCTAGGCTTCTTACTGGCTTAAAAATGTTGATTTACTGGTGTTGGTGGCTCATGCCTGTAATCCTAGCTACTCACGAGGCAGAGGTTAGAAGAATCATGGTTTGAGGACATCTCGAGCAAAAAGTCTTGAGAACTTATCTCCAAAATACAAAACACACACACACACCCAAAAAAGGGCTGGTGGAGTGGCTCAAGAAGTAAAGTACCTCCCTAGCAAGCATGAGGCCGAGATCAAACCCCAGTACTGTCAAAACAAACAAACCAACAAATAAAAGGTTAATAAAGAATATAAATGTCATCTGTTTCTTTCTTTCTTTTTTTTTTTTTTTTTTTTGGCAGCACAGGGGTTTGAACTCAGGACCTCATACTTGCTAGGCAGGTGCTCTACTTGAGTCACATCCCCAACCCTACTGAGGGCATCGTATTGTGCTGATGTCACCCAGTGCTCCTTCACCATATTGTAGAAAACACCACCACTCTCCAACTCCCAAGCCCTCTGGCCTAAATGGAATTGACTCTTCTCCAGCTCCAGAAGTGGCTGGCATTCTGAATAGCCTCTCCCTCCAGCCCAGGGATGGTGCAGAGATAGTAACACTTAAGAGGTACTCAGAGGAATTTTGCTAGAGTGTCTAGAAAAGAAAAAACTATGGACAACTGCTTTGCAGTTTTGAGAAAACTGAGATATATTCAAAATCTCCAGAAACCATTTCCCATTGTATACTATGAGAACCACACTGGACTATATCCGATTTCAATAATTCTGTTTATGTGTGGAGAGGCAGCATAACACACAAGGGTTAAAACCACAGACGAAAGCAAGGCCCTTTATTCTAATATTAGCTCTGCTTTTGTAACTGTGTAACTTTGGGCAAGTCACTTTCACTCTCTATGTCTCACTTTCCTCATCTATTAGATGGAAGTAAGAACCCATTTAGAGGGAGGGGGTGGAGTGGGTGGTAAAGGAGGGGGTGGGGCAGAGGAGAGAAATGACCCAAGCATTGTATGCACATATGAATAATAAAAAAATAAAAATTAAAAAAAAAACCCACTTAGTAGGGTTGAGATTTAAATGAATTAATACACAAAAAGTACTCAGAACATTTCCTGGAACAGAGTAAGCACTATATAAATGTTAGCTACTATGAGAATTAAGTGAATTAATAGAAAGTGCTTAGAGAATGCCTGAAAAATAATAAATCCTACATAAATATTATCCAATATTAAAAGCCTATCCGTTTATTCAGTCATGGAATATTTACCAAGTGCCTTTTCTGAGCCATGCCAATAACGTTCTCCTCTAGAGCAGTGGTGTCTAATAGAAATGTAATGTAAAATCCTAAATGTGAGCCACATATGTAATTTTTAACTTTATAATAATCACTTCAGACGTGATCGGGCGCATTCAGGGTGGTATGGCCGTAGACTATAATAATCACTTCAAAAAGGTAGAAAGAAAAAGGTAAAATTACTTTTAGCAAAATATTTTACTTAATCTAACATCCACAATATTATCAATATTATTCACAATAATATCAATCGTATTATCATGTCATCAATACAAAAAACTTGAGATATTTTACATTTTTTCTGTCTAAATCTTTGCAATCTAGGGTGTATTTTGTTCAGTATATCTCAATTCCATTTCAAGTGCTCAACAGTCAAATATGGCTATTGGCTAGCTCATAATTCCATACATTAAAGAAAGGTTAGGGAAAGAGAGGGACTATTAACTTTGCCCTCCACTCCAAACTGTTGCTAAATTATGTAATTGTGTTTCAACTTGAAAAGTCCTTTCACACTTGTTATTTCATTTGATAGCAACATGCCTGGCCTTGAAGGATGGATTAGACTTTAATAAGTGAAGAACAATCTCATCAAGTAGAAAAACATGAACAGAAGCAAGAAAACTAAAGGATCTATCAAAGACTCAGAAGTCAAAGGGTAAATTGAAGAAGATAGATCAGGGAAGCCTTCAATGCCATACCAGGTAGTTATCTGGCAAGTGGTGGGCAGAAACTCAAGATTTGTGAGCAGGAAAGTGGTAAAATTACCTTAAACTAGTAGCTGAAAGTAGCAATGCAATGGAATGAGAGGCTAGAGGTAGCTCATTAGGAAACCACTGCATTAAACCTCAGGAAGAAATGACCTACAGACGAATGGAAAGGAAGAGATAACCTAGTAGTATCTACTACTTAAATCCCCTTGTTAGTTCTTCTGTGACCATGGTGAGTTTCTAAAGGATCTTTTAGAAAGGTGAATCGATCTCCCTCTATCTCTCAACCAACCTTCAAATATCCAAGTACTTAAAACCTGCCAAGGTACTTATGCAGACCTTGAGAATATAAAGGGAACAGGGCAAACAGGGTTCCTGACTGCTTAGATGTTTTCTTAGGGAAGAGAGACAAAACTAAATTCTCAGATAAACAATTTTACATTGTGTAAGAACTATGAAGAAAATAATCACAGGGCATTCTGAAGTGATGACACTTAAGCTGAAAGTAAAGGATGAAAGATGATGAATATATAAGGAGTCAGGGAAAGTGTTCCAGGAGGAAAAGACATGTGCAGTCCTGCAGATATGAAAAAACTTGGTGTTTACAAAACTAAAAGAACAACACTGTTAGACCATGAGTTGGATGGGAATGCATAATAGGAAGTGAAAGGGGCAATCAAGAGGACAGATAACTATGGATCCATATGCTATGACAAGGACCTGGATTTTATTTTAAAAGCAACAGTAAGTCACTATTTTTAGTGCCTAATTTTTTTTTAGGTACTGGGATTTGAACTCAGGACCTACCTTGAGCCATTCCACCAGCCCTTTTCTGTGAGGGATTTTTTTCGAGATAGGGTCTCACGGAACTATTTGCCCAGGCTGGCTCCCAACCTCGATCCTCCTCTCTGCCTTCTGAGTAGCAGGATTACAGGCCTGAGCCACCAGTACCCGGCTCCAAAATGTTTTAATGAAGAGAATGAGATAACCTCCACTTTAAGATCACTCTTGTTGCAGTTTGAAAAACTGCTTAAAAAATGGTAAAGGTGGCCAGCCTGGGCAAATAGTTCATGAAACGCCATCTCCAAAATAACCAAGGCAAAATGTCTCAAGCATTGAAATTGCCTGGTTTGCAAACGAGAAGCCCTAAGTTCAAATCCCAGTTCCACCTCCCCCCCAAAACCCAAACATAGCCACACTCCCCCCACAATAATTTCCTAACATCAAATACCAATTTTTTTAATGGTAATGACATAATCTTGGATATCAGTTAGAAGGCAACTAGAATAAAGCAGGTGAGAGATGATAGTGGCATGGTAGGTTAGGACTAGAAAGGCTTTTGGGAAAATTAGTGACCCCTCTCCCTCCAGGATTTTTGCAAAAACGATCTTCTATGCTGCAAAAATCTCAAATGAGGTGAAGTATACTTTCCTTTCCTATTAGGCACTTTTTTTGGGAAAAAATGCTCCCTCCCCAATCAACATGAAATTAAATCATTGTCAATTCTAGCTATTAGAACGTATGATCTTAACCAACATTATTAAGGTATAATTATTCCCAAAATGTGATTTTCATTTTCTCTTTAGGGAAGGTGGTAGGGACTTAAGGACGTTAGGACTATGCAGAGAAAGAAAGGCCTGGTACAAAGGCCTTGAGACAGGAATGAGAATGCCAGGCTTAAGGTATAGAAACAGCCCAGTAGCTGGAACAGCAAGGAATGTGGTTCATATTTAGTGAATGCCCAAAGACATGTCTTTTAACTCATCTGTCACTTGCACAATGCAGTAGCCATCACTAAGAAACAAGCAGAGAAAAGTGTCACGCTACAGTTAAAACTCCACTTCTGGTGAGCCCAGAGCAGAAACACTTGTTTGAAAGAGAATGAATACACCTATGAGGGACGCAGCAGAGAATTTCCGAAGGCGTGACAACTGAGTCCTTTACGGTACGGTCACCACCTCAGGGCGCGTCCCTCCTACCAAACCTCCACACCGTGAAATAGCAAAGCCTGGAAAGTTCTGAGGAATTTACTCCTGCCAGGGCTCGTCAACCCCGGCCGTGTTCCTATCAACTAGAAAGCGACCTCTCACCATCCAGCGGTGCGAAGAAACTCCCTTCATTCAATTCTGAGAAGTCAGAAGTGGCGCGGTTGTAAGACAACCCCTAACGTCATATCCGGTTGCCAGCTCCGCAGCCTCCACTTCAACGGAAGTTGAAGTGCGTATCCAGGTAAAACTTCCGGCTTGGGGCGTGTCTCCCCAGCAGCCAATGGGCTGTGCCCACCTACTCCTTTGACGTCGATCTGTTAATCGCAGCCTGTGACGTTTAAAGGGCGGGGCGCTACAGAGGAACAGATTCGGAGGAGGGGCTGGGCTTCTCTGTGGCTGAGAAGCAGGGAGCCCGAGGCAAAGATGGTTTACATCTCGAACGGTGAGTTGGAGGTGATGCAGGGGCGATCTCTGGGATCTGGAAGGCCGGACCCCGGGTTTCTTCAGTCCCCGTTCGCTGGGTCTAAGGCGGCTTCCCGGACTTTAGTGCCTACTGGTTGGGTGGAGCTGATGCTAAGGCTCAGGCCTTAGGCGCAACAGCAGATGGATGGTTCCTGAGCCGACTTCAGGGGCGGAGGTCCCCTTGATGAGGACCGCGCCCGGGTCCCGCCTGAGTCAGACGGGGCATTGGGAGTCGGGCGAGCTTCTGATTGTAAGTTTGAGAAAGTGGTCTTTGCTCTGGGGCGCGGTTACCTTTAACTACTAGTGAACGCGTACGTAGCGCTTTTGCCTTGAGCACTGTTGAGTCCCATTCAGGTAATATTTTATTATCTGTTTTACTCATGGAGACTGAGGCGAAGGTCGATAAAATAGCTTTCCCGGGATCACTAGGGTAGTTGATGATTTAGGATTGAAACCCAGATAGGATGGCGTTAGCGGCCTTGCTATCTCTTTCTATAACGTGTAAAAAAAAACAATGGAGCTAAACTAGGATGATTTGGTGTGTGTGGGGGGGGTTACTGGGGTTTGAACTCACGTCTTGAGCTTGCTAGGGCAGGAGCTCCACCGCTTGAGTCATTCCTCCAACCCAACAAGGATGGTCTTTAGATAAAAGCTTTGAATAGGCTTTTCTCCCAAGAGAGCGCAGCAAGCCATGCAGGCAATTTTTGCAGGAATTTCAAGGAGCTCAGGAAGAAGTGCAAGTTGGTTACTAGAATAGAAAATCTGAGAGGGACTTTTTTTATGGGACTGGAATTTGAACTCAGGGCTTCGTGCGTGCAAAGCAGGTTTTCTATCGGTAGCTTGAGCCACACCTCCAGTCTGAGAGGGACTTAATTCTGTGAATTCACAAAGAAAATGACTGGAAAAGAAAGACTCGATAAAACCGAGTCAAATTAGCGCCAGAACCATTCGGCCCACCTGTTTGACTCAGGTGAACTTCCTTGGTGCAGTCTTAGCAAGTAGTTCTCAGCAAGAAGTCTTGCTTAGCAAGCAGTCTTAGCAAGTAGTTCTTGCTGAGAATTACTTGCTGGTTCTATTTGAATCCTCTTTGTACCTCCAGAGACGATTAAGGTCCTCAGTGAGAAGTCTTCTGGCTGAGTGCGCTTTGTAATTTTTTCCTTTCCAAAATCTCATCTCCCACTTAAAAATCTTGGGAATAAGTGGATTAGTGAACACTAAAGGAAATTTCATCTTAGTTTTTTTGGCACTTGAAAACTAGATTTTTCATTCTGAGTGAGGTTAGCCTGGCTCAAAAAACCAAAAATCGTATGTTCTCCCTCATATGTGGACATTAGATCAAGGGCAAACACAACAAGGGGACTGGACTATGAGCACATGATAAAAGCCAGAGCACACAAGGGAGGGGTGAGGATAGGTAAGACACCTAAAAAACTAGCTAGCATTTGTTGCCCTTAACGCAGAGAAACTAAAGCAGATACCTTAAAGCAACTGAGGCCAACAGGAAAAGGGGAACAGGTACTAGAAAAAAGGTCAGATCAAAAAGAATTAACCTAGAAGGTAACACCCACGCACAGGAAATCAATGTGAGTCAATGCCCTGTATAGCTATCCTATCTCAACCAGCAAAAACCCTTGTTCCTTCCTATTATTGCTTATACTCTCTCTACAACAAAATTAGAAATAAGGGCAAAATAGTTTCTGCTGGGTATTGAGGGGGGAGGAGAGGGAGGGGGCGGGGGCAGGGGGGAGAAATGACCCAAGCATTGTATGCACATATGAATAATAAAAGAAAAAGAAAACTTTAGATTTTTGTTATGATTAAGAGATTAGGGCTAGTAGCTTTTTTTTTTTTTTTTTTTTTTCAGTACTGGACCTACACCTTGAGCCACTGCACCAGCCAGCCCTTTTTTTCTAGATGGGGGCTAGTGAACTAGTTGCCTGGGCTGGCTTTGAACCGTGATCCTTGCAATTTCTGCCTCCTGAGTAGTGAGGATTACAGGAGTGAGCTACCAGCCCCAGCTAAGGCTAGTAGTTTCTATTTGTGCATTATTGAGTGATTCCTTATTTGTGGAGTGCCTTAATATGTATACATTATCCTATTTGACATACATAAATATCCTGTTCAGACCTTTTATCTCACATCTGCAGTTGAAAAATGAAGCTTCATTTTAAGTTCTTTATTTCCCTCTGAGAATATGGAGAGGCATAGGTTTGTGCCTTCAGAAACTAGAAGGGAAAGTGCAAACAGCAAGATTGAATGATGGGGGCTGGGTGTGGTGATTTATGCCTATAATCCCAACTTCTTGGGAGGCAGAGATTGGGAGGGTCAAAGTTTGAGGCCAACCCTGGCAATTATAAAGACTTCATATCAACAAATAAGCCAGATGTGGTGGCACATGCCTATGATCCCAGCTAAGCAGGAGGTGTGAGTAGGAGGATAGCAGTCAAAGGCTACCCTGTGCCAAAACTGAAGATCCTATCTGAAAAATAACTGAAGCAAAAAAGGACTTGAGCATGGCTTGCCTAACAAGGTGAGACCCTGAGTTAAAAGTACCACCAAAAAAAAAAAAAAAAGGATGAACATGAATATAATTCTTTAGAACCACAACAGAAGAATTAATGGGTTCCAAGTATTTATCAGCACTTCATAACTCATGAAATACTACTCTTACTGTCAGACAGCCTTTTTTTTTTCTCCTAAAGTAATTTCCTGTGAGTTGTGTATGGTGGTGCTTATAATCCCAGCACTTGGGAGGTTGAGGCAGGAAGATCTAAGAGGCCAGACTGAGCTGCATAGATGAGACCCTGTCTCAAAAAACCAAAGGGGCTGGTCATGTTGCTCAGTGGGAGAGCTATTGCCTAGCATGCACACACACACCCCTGGGTTGGAACCCTAGCACTGCAAAATAAATAAAAGATTTCCTTATGATGGCTAGCCCTGCAATACTTTTACTCAGAGAAGGCAAATGTTGCATCAGCCAAAAAAGCAGAGGTAGTCAGAGGCAAAATGAAGCATGTCACCCATCTTCTGACTGTGTAGTCTGTTTTTCTCACTACCTTCAGTGAGAGCATAGATCCAAGTAGATTCCTGAAGTAAGCTGGTCAAGGAAAGAGGAAAAGTATACCCAGGCAGAGGAAGTGGGTGAGCCCCTAAAGCCCTTGGGATAATGGAGAGGATAGGGAATTGATGGACAGATGTTCTTCCCCCAAAATAGTCTAACCTTCTGATTTTCAAGACTGAAACTCTAGAGTACTGGCTTTTCATGTGTGGTTTCTATTTAAAGTGGTGAAAAAGTCGATCCAGTTTTTCTTAAAATAAAGCTAGAGTCCATTACTAGAATCAAGACCATCCTGTTATAAGTCAAGTTCTCTTTAGCACTTGTTAATAAACTCTTTAATTTATAAGAAAAAAATTATCAAAATAACTGATTCTAAAGACTTGTGAGAGTCCATATAAATAATCATTTTGTCTAGAGATAGGCAAGAGATTTTTCTAATGAAAAGAATTACTTGAACACACTTAGGAAAATGAAAATAGTGTGAGCAGCCCTTTATAATCACCCAGCCCATTTATTTTTTCAAAATGCTCGAATAAACAGATGTTTGTTTGCCTGTGTTCATAGAAGCTTGGTTTCACAATAAGTAACCCAAGAGTTCATTGATATATGACTGGGTAACAAAATTGTAGTGTATACATATAATGGAATATTATTCAATCTTTTAAAGGTAAGGAAATTTTGACACATGCTACAGTGTGTATGAACCTTAACGAAATTGCACTAAGTGAAATGAACTGGTCACAAAAGACAAATTGTATATGATTCCTTGTATATGACGTTCCTACAGTTATTGAATTCATAGAAACAGAAAGTAGAATGGTGGTTGCCCGGGGATGGGGTAATAGGGAGTCAGTTTAATAGGTAGATTTTCATCTGTGAAAGATGAAAAAGTGTTGGAGGTGGATGGTGGTGCTATTTTTATTACAATGTGAATGTACTTTAACTGTACACTTAAAAATGGTTAAGATGGTAAATTTTATGTTACATATATTTCACCAGTAAAATGTTTTGTTATGTGCATTTTACCTATGAGAGAGAGGAATACTTAGAATAAAGTCACCTGCTATGATTACACAACATAGATAGGTATTTGACATATTAAAAGCCTAGATCATAGAGCTTTACTTCCCTGAATCCTTCCTTAAAATGATATAACAGACTTCTCCTCGTGTCGACTATTTGGAATAATGGGCAAATTGAAATGTGTTTATTACTGTTGCTTAACTAATAATAACTAATGTAATGCCTCTGGGTTGGAGACATATAGCACTCATACAGCTTCTTTATTCTTATTTATAGGACAAGTGCTGGACAGCCGGAGTCAGTCCCCATGGAGATTATCTTTGATAACAGATTTCTTCTGGGGAATAGCTGAGTTTGTGGTTTTGTTGTAAGTATAATAGTACTTAATTGAACTGATATTTAAGAGAATTACTTTAGTTGTATTACGTTGGTTTATCTAAGCTGAGCTTTCCTGAAGCATGTTTTAATTGTAATTATTTAACTAGCTTTCCAAAGACAATTAAGACTTTTTTAATGATAAAACTTCCATCACCAAACAATTTATGATTAATGAATATCAGTTAGTTTATTAAACCTGATCATGCCTTAAGCTTGGTGGTAGCCATGTCTACCTGCAGCCAGACCTGTCTATTCTATTGTCAAATTAGTGTGCCTCATTTTCTACCTACAAATTCTCAGTTTTCACATATGCATGTACTTAATGTTCCATATTACACAATAAATAAGAGGAATTATATCTTGACTTAAAAATACTCTCAAGTAGTGAACTCTTTTAATGAAGGATTAGAATCAATAGAGGTGACAAAAATTAAGCCTTCTGTATCATTGCAAGCAGTTCTTAATTAAATGAATGGTTTTGGTCTTCTACCTGCTATTTATTTTATGAAAATTAATCATCAATTACTAACAAGTATTACTCTTCCTAAGTTTAAAAATATATTTGAATGTCTTGTGGTTAAAGAACTGCAAGGATGCGGGTAACAGCCCTTCCTTCACTGACTTTAATATCAGTAAATATCTTCATTTTGTGACGGGTAGTGGAGTGGATGTCATTATTGGAGGTGGACATCAGGAGAAGTTATTCCAGATAGAGGAAACCATATGAAGGATGGTATAAAAGTCTGAATATCAAGCTATGGTTTTTAGTACTTAATTTGATCATGGCTATTGGTTAGAAAGTTTACTTTTATTGTTGTATGTAGTATAAATTAGAAAAAGTAGACATAAAATGGAAGAGATGGTTCTATAGGAAAATGCAAGGAGGGGATGAGAGAAGCTCTAAGTTAAGCTACACAGTGCAAAACTTAAAATCTTTTCTAAATTTCATCTACTTCATATTATTTGCTGATTGAACTTAATTCTTCTCCACAAATAAAGAAAATTCTATTTCAGTGGGTTCCCAGAGCCCTATGCCTGACATGCAACCCTCAGGCCCTTCCTCCCAAAGGTGATGTTAGGTAGGCTGTTGACAGGGGAAATGCAGGGATGGTGCATGTGTACTTCAAAAACAGACTCTGGAACCTGACTGGAGGAAGGAAGTCAGGGATGACTGGTTTCATGCTTTGCCTAGGGGAATTATTAGGACATAAAAAGTACACACAAGGTGTGGTAGATTTGGCACTGAACATAGCATACGGTGTTTGTTTTTTTTTTTATTTTATGTTATCATTTTTACATTTACTTACATGTGTACACATTATTTGGGCCACCTCCCCCAAATAATGTGTACATTGTGTTTAGACACATGCCTGAGCTAGGTGTTGTCCAAGAAGTGTGGGTTTAGAGATACTAAGTAGGCTTAATCACCCCATCGTAGAGATAATAGTTAAAATTATGGAAATGTATTTTATAATGGTGTCAAAAGTGATACCTCTGTTGTTTTCTGCCCCTGGTTTCAGTTTTAAAACTCTGCTACAGCAAGATGTGAAAAAAGGAAGAGGCTACAGAAACTCATCTGATTCCAGATACGATGATGGAAGAGGGTACAGCCTTTTAAAAAAAATTGATAAGTTGTTTGTCCCTTTGTGTCTTTTAATTACATTAGATATTTTAGATAGAATTAGACTTGTGGAAATTAAAAGTTTAATCCCATTTTACAAAATTAACAGGCTAAAAGTCAAGTTGCCTCTTACTTGATAAACAGTTAATCTGGCAAAGCTAGTATGTATATAACATGTACCTATGGGAAAAGTCTAAACTAGAGGATGAAAACATTACCATTTAGAGATTTCACTTTATGGTTTGAATTGCCAGCTACTAGTAAAAAACTCAGATTAAGCAGCACTGGGTAGAGCTTGTGTCTTCACATGGCAGAAATCACCTGGGGCTGAATTTTGGCTGGGCACTTTCAGGAGCTGCCACAATTCATCACAAGCCTTGCCTGACTCAGTTTCCTCATGCATACTGTGTGTCTGATCCCTCTAAGTGTTTGAATTTTTGACTCTTAACCTAAATGGTAGCTCATATTTTAAAGAATCTTTTAGGGTGATGTGGTTATTGAAAAGGGTCTAGGTGAGTGTTGAAAAGAAAGCAATTGAAGTTGTGTCTGTCAAACAGTAAATGCTAACTTTATCTTTTATTAGGCCACCAGGAAACCCTCCCCGAAGAATGGGTCGAATCAATCATCTTCATGGCCCTAGTCCTCCTCCAATGGCTGGTGGATGAGGAAGGTAACTTCAAATCTGAAATTATTTTCTAGGATTTTATTTTGAAAATGCCTCCTTAGGAATGTTTTCTTTAGGAAAACAGAAGTTGTACAACATTTTACTCACACTTTATTCTTTGGAGAAATATGTCTTAAACCTTGAAAAATTCACTGACTTTATCATCAACATACCATTTGAGAAAGGTTGTATAACATGTAATATGTTGGGATTTTTTTTTTTCCCTGTTTCCTCCATTCTGTTCCCCTAGACCATTCTGGAACGCAGCTAGACCACCAATGCTGACCGCCTAGACCACTCTGGTTGCCAGCCCCCTTCACCCTTCCTTCCCACCCCTCAGGAATTTCATGTTGAACTTTTTTATAGGTTGAAGTTAATAACTAGCAACTGATTATAATAATCTTTTCTTTTAGGTAAACGTCTGCTCTAAGAAGCAGACAAGTAACCATGCACATTCATAGTAGGAAACCATCAAGAAATGGAAGGCTGACCGTGTTGGACAAGAAGATGAATGTGTATGTGTAAACAGGAATTGCTCTGTGTCCTCACAGATCAATGAGGTCATGCTGGGAAGTCCCCCTATGGGGATCTGGCCTGACTGACATGCAGTTCTATAAATGCAAATGTTCCTCTCATCTGTTTTGTATAGTCTATTAAAGTATTAATATAGTTTTAATAAGTAAATATTTTTAGGTTGCAAAACTTGACTCATGTTTATATAATAAATCTCAAACTCTGAACCTGAAGAAAATAAAAGCCGTACTATATTGTACTAAAATGCTGTTAGTGTCACCTTTTTTTAACTTCTGAAATACTGTTCATTGTTAATTTGTTGTCATTTATAAATAAACCACTGTATTTATTTCAGTAGTATGCATATAATGTTTACTTTTGAATTTTTTATCTTTACTGTATTTGTCTCAAGAATGTTTTAATACGTCATATCTGATTTGCTACCAAACTTAATTACCAGGGTTTTATAAAGCCATAGCCAACAAAACTGAGTTTCAAAATGAAGATATGAAGGTAATCAAAACATTAAAGACAGGACTTAAATTTTTTTTTATCAGTTTTTTACTAAGTGGAAAGCTCTGTGAGATTAGGGATTTTGTTTTTCCCCCAGATGTTTTGTTTTTGAGACAGGGTCTTTGTTTTTGAGACTGGGCTATATATCCCAGGCTGGCCTCAGACTTACAGTCCTGCCTCTCACTCAAGAGCTGAGATAACAGCCAGGTACCACCATGTCAGCTTAACCTGGTCTTTTGAACAGTGACAACATGTAATAGGCACTGAAATATTTATTAGAAAAATAAATAACAGTTCTAATATGAATTTGTAATAAGCTTCAGAACTAAGGGTGAAAGCTTTTTTATATCATTCATTATTCAACTCTTATTTGTCCAGAAATAGGGAATGTAGTGGTATAAGACACTGTGTTCAAGGATATGGAAACAAGCAATTATAATGCAAGTTTAGAATAATAGCTTGTTGACCACTCAATTCTGCCAAACATATTTTACACATTTTTGGGAGTACCAGGATTTGAACTCAGGGCTTCATGCTTGCTAGGTTGGCACTCTACCACTTGAGCCACTCTGCCAACCCTTTTTTTGTGCTCGGTATTTTTGAGATAGAGTCTCACAAACTATTTGCCCTAGCTGCCCTTGAACTGTGATCCTCCTGATCCCTGCCTCCTGAGTAGCTAGGATTACAGGCTTGAGACACCAGTGCTATTTTATACATTTTTAATTCTGATAAAATAAGTAGGTATTTAAATTATACAGATACATGCAAAGGCTCAGTAAAGTTTAGCAACTCCCCAGATGTATGACCCCTGAGTGAACAGTGGGCATTCTGTTAAACTTCCACCACCTCCATGAGGGAGTTCATGGTGGAGTATAAGGAGGTGGTGGCTTAGTGTTATTGATCACTTCTCAGAGTATATGGCCCATGATCCTTTCCTGTCCCCAGGACTGCTGCTGCAGGTCCATACTGCAGAGTCCCCACTGCAATTGACATTTAACCGTTCTGCAGTGCAGAACACAGCTTTTTTTCTTTGGTGGGACTGGGGTTTGAACATAGAGCTTCACATTAAGCAGGGGCCCCACTGCTTGAGCCACACCTCCAGTCCATGTATACACTGGTTATTTTGGAGATAAGTCTTCAAACTTTTTGCCTGGGCTTGCCTCAAACTGCAATCCTCCCAATCTCAGCCTCCCAAGAAGCTAAGATTACAGGCAACAGCCACTGGCACCCAGCCCATGTGCTGAAGGTAACAGTAGCAAGTAAGTCAGTCTTCTCATGGAGTTTACATTCTAGTGTGGCAAGCAATAAGTAAGCTAGCAAGCTAATTACAGACTGATGCTTTTGGCTTCCAAGGATGCCCTGTAGACATCTACGTTGAGATATTAAATAGGGAGTCAGCTATCAGTCTGGATCTCAGGGAAAGGTCCATGCTGGTAGTAGGATAATTGGTGAAGAAGTAAGGTAACTGTTGAGATACATAGGATGAGAATGAGCCAACTGAGGAAAGAGCATCCAAGACAAAAGAAACAGCAAGTTAGTGCAACAACCCAAGGATGGGAAGGGCCTGGCATATCTGAAAAATCAAGTGTAGCTGGAAATGCTAAGGGGAAAAATGGCATGAAGTGAAATTAGAAATGTGGCAGGAACTAGATTTAAGAATGTAATCTTGAAAGTAGTTAAATTAGGTTCTGTACCATGAGCAAAGGGAAACCATGAAAATTTAAAGCATGGGTATGACATCTAATTTTTGTTTGGAATAACTTATTGGTAATATTTTACCAAGTGGGGTACTGGAAACAAAATATTGACTGTGTTTGTTATATTTTAAAACAACACATGGGCAACTGAGAAGGACAGACTATCTGAGGACAGGACTGAAAAGAGGAAGTGCAGTTAAGAGTCTGTCGTAAGCTAGGAGACACTTTAGTAGTAGAGTGCTTGCCTAACATCTACAAGGCTCTGGGTTTGATTCCCAGCATTTTGGGGGTGGGAGTGGGGTTGTTGTCATCCAGAAGTGATAGTGGTTTGCACTAGGTTATGGCAATACATAGGGAGAAGTGGATGAATTCAAGGTCCATTTTGGAGGCTAAAGGCTTTTCTAGTGGTTTGAATGTAGAGACTGGACAGTTATATCTACTGAGTTGGTAAAAGTGAGTAGTTTTTTGGGGGGAGAGAATAGATTAAGACTTCCATTTAGAAAAAGTACACAATGCCTTGTAGACATTCAAGTTGAGATACTAAATAGAGAGTCGGTTATCCGTCTGGATCTCAGGGAGAGGTCCAAGCTGATAATACACGTTTGGGAATCGTCTTCATAGTTAAGCCATGAAAGTGGATGAAGTCATCCAAGGTTTTGAGATTTAGCCCTAAAGAAACCCAGTATCACAGACTAGATCGAGCATGCCCAACAAAGTATAGGAACTAGGGGTTATGTATTGTGTCGGAGAAGCCTGGAGAAAAAAACGCGTTGCTTTTCCCCGGCCCACGTTAGGCACTCAAAACACTACAAGTGTAACAATGCCGGCATCACCCCGAGCGAACCACAGCCACACCCATCCAACACTCCGTCCAGTCCCAGCCCCGCCCTTCCCGCTATCCCAGAATCCTCCGGGACGACGCCATTGGCGGCCATCTTGTTTGTGGGCAGCCCGAAGGGAGGCTGTGCTTGCACGGTAGTCCTTCCGGTACAGCTGGGCTGCTGAGGCTCGTGGGCGTCTGCGGCCACGATGACCCAGGCCGAAAAGGGGGACGCGGAGAATGGGAAGGAGAAGGGCGGGGAGAAAGAGAAGGAGCAGCGCGGCGTGAAGCGGCCCATCGTACCTGCGCTTGTGCCAGAGTCGCTGCAGGAGGTGAGGCGCCGGGGGCGGGTCTCGGGAACCCAGCGACAAGCCTCAGTTCTCCCTGGGAGGAAGAGAGGCCTGGCCCCTTCGGAAGGGCTCACGTCTCTCTCGTCCAGGGCCCGGCCGCGCGTGGGTGACGCGGGACGCCAAAGGGGGCGGGGAAGCGCGGTGCGCGGCGAAGCCTGGCGGGTCTGCGTGCGGACTCTGCGCTCACCTCGCTCTACCTGGCACCTCGCCCTGATCCGGCATCCACGCCCCTAAAATGACAGTGAGATCGCCTGCCTTCTAGGTTGCAGTGAGGGATAAGGAGCTGCTGGAGGAGGTTAGTACCTGCCTGGTTGACCAAGTGTCAACTGGTGCTTGTTAAGGGATGGTTAGACGTTCGATTTTTCTCCTTTGTTAGCAAATCTCAGATGTGGAAGTCATTTCCAACTTCAAAGGAAAGAATTTTTGTCTACACATAAATTAAAGAAAGGGCCTTAGGTAGAGCGTCTGCCTGGCAAGCGTGAGGCCCTGAGTTCAAAACCCCAGTGCCACCAAAAACAAACAAAAAACCCCAACTAATTAGAGACTAAGAGCATGTGTATCAAAAACAGTACAACAGCAAAACAACGATTTGTAGTAGCACGACAGGCAAAAGATCTTTATTTGTACGTTTCTAGACATAGAAACAAGTGCTTAGTGATGAGTAAAGAAAACACTAACATTCCCATAGGAAAAACGAGGCCAAGCAGTGCATAGTTCGCAGATGAAATAAGGAGGCATTGCGTGCTCAGTATTTCTTGTTGGCGTCTTTGAGCTAGCTTCCTCACTAATACGTGGGTTAAACATAACACCTAACTGGTAGGGCAGCTGTAAAGTACATAGTGCAGCTCTGTGTGTGGTTATTACCATGGCACAAGACTGGTTTCTGGTTTCTCCATCTCTACTGAAAGGGAAGACTAGAAAGTTTGTAGGGGCCTTGGCAGTTCCCACCTTCTAGGATTCTCACATTCTAAAGAGGGTCCAGTAGGACAGGAGAGCTTACAGTTGGGGATGGACAACAGATTTCAGAGCAGGGCTCTCAAACACAATAGCATCACTTTCTTGACTGGCATCAGTTGTGCCACACCGATTGGTTTTTTTCATGTCCTCTCTGGTGTCTGTACTGTTAATTGCTTGGTAACTTTTCTTAGTGTTAAGCATTAATATCCAGGAAATGGTATATGGGATGTACTAGCTAGGTTTTTTTTCTAACACATTAAATATGTGATTTCTAAAAAATACTTGTCCACCCTTTAGAAAACTACATTTTCTATCCCCCAGAACTTCCTGATTAATGTGCAGCAGCCTGTGTACCTTTAATAAGGAACGGGCATCCCCAATGGCTAGCAGCCTCACTTGTTTACCCCATCCACTTTGCCACCATCATTCAGCACATATCTCAGGCTGCTGTCTGCCTTGTGCTGACATAGAGTAGTTAACAAAACAGAAGCCGTCCCTTCTCCCAGAAAGTTTGCTCTTTGTTGGTAAGGCAAACAGTAACATTGGCAAGTGTCATGAAAAGGAGGCGTACGATAAGAGTGTATTATGGGAGACCAGCAATCCTAGTTAACTTCATATTGAAGGGAGAATTATGTTGTAGCTGAGAGAAGAACTTTGCTGGAAAAGGGAATTTCCTGTATGAAATCAAGAGAAATTCTGTGCAGTTGCCTTGGGTTTGTTGTTTTGAGGAGGGGGTTTTGTCTTTTTTCTTTTTCTTTTTTTTTCTTCCCTATTTTTCCTTTTTTTCTCCCGGTGCTGGGGACCAAACTCAGGGCCTTGCACTTGCCAGGTAAGTGCTCTTCCACTGAGCTAAATTCCCAACTCCAAAAGAAATTCTGTTTTGAGAGAATTAAAGAGACTGAAAAAAAAATTTTTTTTTTGGTGGGACTGGAGTTTGAATTCAGGGATTCAGGCTTACAAAGCAAGTGCTCTACCACTTGAGCCATACCTCCAGTCCAGAGTCACGGAAATGTTTTGAAGGAAGATATGCCAAGAAGACAAGACTATGTAGCTCCAGGGCAGGGTAGAGTAGGGAGTATGGAGTCAGCTGGAATTGCATGCTCCACAGTCATCCTTGTTGTCAAAGGCATCGTCTAAGTCTCCTCTTCTCCCACTTCCTACTAAAACTCTGGGTCCCTCAACAAGTTTATGAGGCAGAACTTCTCTCAAATGATTATGTATTCTATCCCAAGAGAATTACACAACTAAACTAATTATCATATAAAAGTAAAGCCCACGATTATCACTTCACAGTTCTGATTTGTGCTGCTTAGTTAGCCCTTGTTCACTATCTCCCAAGAATGGATTGTGGAATGCAGCAAAGCTTTCTGACTTCTGAGGATAGAATTGTGAACTCTGGCTTTTTAACCCCAAGCTCTGCCAGATTAGGTAAATAGCACAGAACCAATAGTAACATTTTTTTAAAAACAGTGACCAAAACACAAAGTAACTATTCTATCCTTTCAACAAACCTGAGTGATCATATTAAGTTACCAATTTCTAGGCTCTCCCCTTGGAGCTTCTGGACTAGAAAATTTATAGTGAGGTTTAGGATCTTTTTTTTCCTCCCTTCATTTATAAATGTCTGTGGGCAATTCACATTTATGGGACCCAGGACATAGTATTCTCCATACTCTTGTCCCTTGTTTAACTGTCTTCCTTAGTTCTCTGATGGTAGAGACTTCATCCTGGCTACCCTTGTACCCAAAGTGCCTGGTATGTAAATGTTCAAAAATTATATGTTAAATTACATTGGATAATTTTGGTTTCACTAATTTAAGCAAGTATTTGTTGAACTATGTACTGCAAGTCAGCCCAAGAGAGCACAGAGATGCAAAATGAGTTTGCATGCAGATGGAGAACAATAACTGGATGTCTTTCAAAGAACATTTACTTAATTTTTTTTGATACTTTTGAGTCCAATAGCCTTTACAAGAAATTTAGTGTAATTTGGTACCTTATATTAGTTAACTTGTTATTGAATATTATTTGCTAAGGTAACACACTTGTTTTCCTTCCTAAGTACTAGCATTTTTACCATATATTGTACAAAATAATAGATTTCATTATATCATTTTCATACATGTATATAATGTTCTTTAATCATATTCACACCCCATTACCCTCTTGTTTCCCTTCCCTACCTATTATTAGTCCTGTTCTACTCTCATGTATTTTTAAAAATGTAGATTCCATCCCTATATGAGAGAAAAGCATATTTGTCTTTCTGAATCTGTCTTACTTTACTTATGATGATCTGCAGTTCCATATATTTTCCTGCAAATGATAATACTCCAGTATGTATCTATTCCACATTTTCTTTATTCAGTCATCTGTTGATGGGTACCTAAACTGACTTCATAGCTTGATTATTGCGAATAGTGACTGAATAAACATGGGACACACTTGTTTTTTATTTTTGCAGCAAATCCAGAGCAACTTCATCGTTGTCATCCATCCAGGTTCAACAACTTTAAGAATTGGTCGAGCTACAGACACACTTCCTGCCAGTATTCCTCATGTCATTGCACGAAGACATAAACAACAAGGGCAGCCCCTGTACAAAGACAGCTGGCTCCTGAGGGAAGGACTAAATGTAGGTCAGACTCAGAGGAGCTGGGGAGAAAACTCAAGGTGGTTTACTTGCTTAGGCACAAAAGTATGCATGAGAATCTCCAACAAACATCTTTGTAACTTTACTGTGTTTTAAAATGTTAACATCATTCAGGATTGCAAGTATCATTTTTCATTTAAGCTATCAATTTTAGATTGCAAAGAATTAGTCATAGCAATAGTAAATCTAGTTGTTCTTAAACCCATCAGGACTGATTGGGTATTGATAAAGGTATCTTTATTGGGAAATACAGAATTGTCATTCACTTAAAATGACATATTCAGGTCTTTTGTTGTTGTTTTTTGTTTGAGTCAAGGAAACTCTATAGCCTAGGCTAACCTTGAATTTAACCATCCTCCTGCCTCAGCCTCCAGAGTGGCGGAATTATAGGCATGCTTGAGCATGCCCAGCACAATCAGGTCTTTATTAACTGACAGCTGTATTTTCTTTTCCAAATACATATAGTTTAAATCAAGCTCATTTTTGATCCATTAGCAAACTGAGTTGCTATAGTAATCACTTCTTATACTCTTAGATCAAATCATAATTTCAAAACAAAAGAAATTTTCCTTGTGGTAACCATTTCTGCATCTTATTTTGCAGATTATTGGAACATTTTTTGTGATAGGTGTTAAAACTATTGCTTTGCAAACTACTAGCTTATAAATTTCAAGAATAGTTTCAAGAACTTAGAGTTTCTGTGACTCTGATTGTAAGCTTTAGCATTCCATTGTTTAGTGTAACTAGCAGACTGTACTGAAGTCCACTTGTAAGCGTCAATGTAACTTCTCAGTGTTAGAGTTTATAATATATTCACAATAACTTGAATACTTGTTGAGTCATCAAAATAAAACATATGAAGGAATATGATTACAAAATTGCAAACATAGAATTATATAGATGTATGAAGACTCTCCAAAATCCTTTGTAAATAATGAAGTATGTATGATTTGATTAGTGGCATAAACATTTTTATCAGTCAAGTCACTTTGATCCTGCACTTGGGATATGAAGCAGGAAGATCACAAGTTCCAGGCAGCCTGGGCTGTATAGTGAGACCTTGCCTCAAGAAACCAAAACAGAAAGTCACTTGAGGCTGTAGATTTTTGCAGAAAGTTGGTTTTTGGTCAGGGTTCCACTTTTTTTTTTTTTCCCCCTTGTTTTGGTGCTGGGGTTGAACCCAGGACTTTACATGCTAATCAAGCAGTAGGCCACTGAACTATATCTTCAGTCCTGTTTTTTTATTTATAATAAAAGATTACTTGGATTTTTTTTCCCCCTTTCCATTTTTTCAGTGCTGAGAAGCCAGGGCCTCACACATGCTAGGCAGTTACTCTGCCACTAAGCTATATCCCAGTCCTACTTGGAATTCTGTTTTGTTTTGTTTGAGACAGGATTTTGGTATGTAGTCAAGGCTGGTCTGGAACTCACTGTGGTGGCCCAGGTTGGCTTCAGACTCAAGATCTTTTCTCTCAAGTGCTGAGATTATAGACTTACACCACCATGCCTAGTTTTGGGATTCTGAAGATAACTATATATGACAGAGATTAAGGAAGTGCTATTTTGTTGATGAAGGAACATTTCCTAATTGTGGCTTATATTAGTAGCATGCTGTATTGTTTTCTCTTTTCACTAAATCTTTTATACTGATCATCTTTCATTTTGTTCCCTAGAAACCTGAAAGTAATGAACAAAGACAAAATGGCCTTAAAATGGTGGATCAAGCAATATGGTCTAAAAAAATGTCAAATGGTACAAGACGCATTCCTGTGTCCCCTGAACAGGTTCAGTCAACTTTTTCTTCAGATTTATTCTTTTTCTGCCACTATTATCATATAGTCATATGTCACTTAACAATGGGAATAATTCTGAAAAAAGCATTGCTGGGTGATTTCATTGTTGTATAAACATGGTAGGATGTATTTACAAAAACCTAGATGGTACAGCCTATTACTTAGACTGTATGATATGTCCTGTTGCTCCTAGGCTACAAACCTGTACAGCATGCTACTAAACTGAATACTGTGGGCAGTTGTAACACGAATGGTATTTGTGTATCTAAAAAATAAAAAGGTACAATATAAATAAAATATGAAAGATAAAAAAATGGCACACATAAATAGGGCCCTTAGCATGAATGGAGTTTTCATAACTGGGTGAGTCAGTGAGTAAGTGATGAGTGAATTTGAAGGCCTAGGACATTACTGTTCACTAATGTAGACTTTAAAACACTGTATTCTTAGGGCACACTAAGTTTATTAAAAGCTAGTTCTTCAATAGTAAGTTAACCTTGGTTTGCTGTTTACTTTATAAACTTAAAAGTTTTAAACTTTTTAGTCTTTCATAGTAATACTTAAGACATACTGTATGAAAAAGAGTTTCTTTGATCCTTATTCTTTAAGCTTTTTCTATTTAAAAACTTTAAAAACAAAAAAACTTAAACTTTTTGGTTAAAAACTAAGACAAAAACCAAGCCCAACAGGATCAGTATTACTGTCTTGCACTTCCACATCTTGTCCCACTGGACATCAGGGGTAGTAACACACATGGAGCTTCATCTCTGGGATAACATGCCTTTTTCTGGAATCCCTCCTGAAGGACCTGCCTTCAGCTGTTTTGCTGTTAACTTTTTAAAATATATAGTGATAAAGTATAGTAAAGTAAACATATAAGCCAGTAATATAGTTGTTTATTATCATGTAAGGATTATGTACGTAACTGTATCTGCTCTACCTTTATATGACCCATTAGCACAGTAGATTTGTTTACATCAGCATCACCACAGACAAATGAGTAAATCATTGTGCTACATCATGTCAGTAGTCAATCAGAATGTTTCTGCTTCACTATAATCTTATAGGACCACTGTTGTGTATATGGTCTCATTGACCAAAACATTATTTGGCACATAACTATAATGCATTCACATGTTTGCCCTATACCATTATACAAATACAAGACAGAATTTCCTTTAAAAAAAGAAAAAATGTCCATTATAACTACTTATACAATACCTGAATCATTATCACAAATGCTTAGGAAAGCCAAGTAATTTATAAAGTGGTATTTCTTAAGGCAAGTTGATGAAAATTTATACTTTACTTAAGAATGTAATTCCAGGATCTTGATGGGAAGCTATATTCTTCCTATAATTTAAAATGATAAACTAATATAGGCATAGTCTGGATTATGTATGAATTTGTACTTAACTTTAAACAAATTATAGTTTTAATTTTTGACTGGCTATGAATCCCAGCCTATGTGTTAAACAAGATTGTGGAAAACAACAGAGAAACTTTTCGTGACTAATCAATATTTTGCCAAGTATCTTGGATTTGTAATTAAAATTTGCCACTCTTATCTGATCTGTAAATGACCATAGCAAAAAGGGACTCTACACTAACTCCCGCCCCAGTTTAAATTCAGCTTTTCTTTCTTCATAGGCACGCGCCTACAACAAGCAGATGCGGCCTGCAATTTTAGATCACTGTTCAGGAAATAAGTGGACAAACACATCTCATCATCCTGAGTATTTGGTAGGAGAAGAGGTAGGAAACTACTTTACAATGAAATGGAAGAAAAAAAGCCTTATCTTTCTCCTAAAGTGATATCATCTACACCACACCGGCTTCTGGTGTGTTAGATACTTCGTACTCAGTATACAACATTCAGAAAATGTTCATTTCTGGCCTTAGACTTTCGGATGTGAATCCAGAAAACCCTTAAAGAAGAATTTTAACAATTCTTACCTTTTAAATCCCTTACCTTTTCTAGGCCTTGTATGTTAATCCACTGGACAGTTACAATATTCATTGGCCTATCAGAAGAGGTCAGTTAAATATTCACCCAGGACCTGGGGGCTCCCTTACAGCTGTTCTGGCAGATATTGAAGTAATATGGTCTCATGCAATACTAAAGTACTTGGAAATCCCACTGAAAGATTTAAAGGTGAGATAAAATTTCATTTGGATTGTGTTTCTTGGTCAATAAAAGTACACATTACTGAGTTGTTTGTAATATGTTCTCCTTAGAATTTTCAGAACATTCTCAGCCTTAGGATGTTCAGAATATTTTTTCCTCTTTGCTTAATTCCCCTCTGGTGCTTTTTCTCCCAGTCTGTTTCTTCAGTGTCTGGCCACTATTCAGGAATCAGCAAGGTTATTCTTGTTTATGTCTCTGTCTCTACCTTACTCAGACACATTAGTTGTTTTATTTTTCATTTCATAGGCTCGAAATGATTGGGGTGGGAGTGGGGAAGGCGTGTGGGAGGTGGGGGTTTAGCTCTTTCTGTTTCTTCATAAAACCCAAAGAATAGCAGAGAGACTTGAGCATTTACAATAGCCATAGCTGCTGCTTCTCTGAGCAGCATAGCTCATAGCTGCTGTGAAAGGAAGCTCCCTAAAGACAGGCCTGTAGGATTGGACTTGACTGAACTTGAGTGTTACTGGTTTCATCTGTTTCTCTTTGTTGTTCTTTTAAGTACTACAGATGTATCCTGTTAATTCCTGATATCTACAATAAACAGCATGTGAAAGAACTAGTGAATATGATATTAATGAAGATGGGTTTTTCAGGTATGTCTGATAATCCAGTGAGACAACATTTAAATGAAATTGTTTTTCTTTTTCAATGACAAGATTAATTCAAATGCCTTTTCTGGAAGGGTCAGTGCTGCTTAAACACTTGCCCAGAGAAGACTTCTAACTTCAGTTGATTATGATCTTCATTGCTCCATAGTTGGTGTTCTACCTTTTGTTTTTAGGAATTGTGGTCCACCAGGAGTCTGTGTGTGCCACCTTTGGAAGTGGCTTGAGCAGCACCTGTATTGTAGATGTTGGGGACCAGAAGACAAGCGTATGCTGTGTGGAGGATGGGGTGTCCCATCGGAACACTCGGTGAGGCACTTGGAAGTGACATTCTCTCCTCCCTCTCCCTTCTCAGTCTGTTCAGATCATGACACATTAGAAATTATACATTCAAAAGTCTACATAGGAAATTTGCGAGACTGTGGAATAACAAGCTCTGCAAAAAGTAGAAGTCAATGATTTTGTCTTTATGGAACTTTCTAATATGAATCCATATAAGTAGCTCCTCAAAGTTCTGATAAGTGTTGTGTACTTTTCCACAGAGGAGTGTACACATCAGCTCCATGTGGTTTTTTTTTTTTTTTTCCCCTTGGCAGTACTGGGGGTTGAACTCAGGGTCTCACATTTGCTAGGCAGCCCTTTTATGTGTTGAGCATTTTGGAGATAGGGTCTCATGAACTCTTTGCCCAGGCTGGCTTCAAACCGTGATCCTCCTGATCTCTGCCTCCTGAGTAGCTAGGGTTACAGGTGTAAGCCACCAGCACCCGGCTCAGCTCCATGTCTTTTGCTATAGTCTGCCATAGAAAAACTAATCTCACCCCTTCACTGCATAATTTTAATTAGGCAAGTCATATAGAAGAAAACAGATTTTTCAACTAGCTAGGATTTTCAGTATCTTCTTTTTTTGTCATAATGGTTCAGTGATTGATGAATAACTTTATGGTGGCTGTCTCCTCATGATGTCATCACCGACAGGAGTTAGTAAGTAGCAGGAGCAGGTTTGCTGCATGTCCTTCCTGAGGCATCCTAACACACTCAGATAGTGTGTGAACTGGTCCTGCAGCAGCTGCTTCTGAGATGGCTTCTTGTGTCTACCACATCAGGTAGTTTGAGACTCATGGCATAGGAATAAATTTAAAAGAAGACCCAAGCAATTCACAAGAAAAGTCAGTCTGCTGCCTCCCACCCCAAGTTCTGATGCATTGTGAAAATCCAGTATAAGTTCTTTTGGTTTGACCATTGTTTAGATTATCTAATGCCAATGATTTTCAAAGTACGGAGAAAATGTTGGACTCAGGTCTTCTACCACTAAAATAGTGTATATTGGTCTTTTCAAATTGTAGAAACCATCTATAGTGGGCAGTTTTCTATAAGCCTTTCTCTCATAAGTTGTCTTACATTGCCTGCCTGCCACCATATACATTAGTAAGTATAGTACTTACTTGTGTGGTAAACATGCTGTCTTAGAAATGAGCTGGAGTTAAATAGTGTGTCTTCTGTGTCTCAAATATGTTTTGCAAACAGCATGACTGCTTCTAGGTGCCCCACCACTGGTTTTGGCTAGAGTTTGCTTTCTCCCATCCATCCATGTTATCCTTTCATTTGTTTCTTACAACAAACATTTCTTAAAACTTGCTGTGTTTCACTGTACCTAATGGAGTTCTTGAAACACCCTGTGAACTTTAGCTGATAGATTAACCATCTGCCCTTTTCTCTTGGCTTTAGGCTCTGTCTGGCATATGGGGGATCTGATGTGTCTAGATGTTTTTACTGGCTCATGCAGCGTGCTGGGTTCCCTTATAGGGAATGCCAGTTAACAAATAAAATGGATTGTCTTCTTCTGCAGCACCTTAAAGAAACCTTCTGTCATTTAGATCAGGTGGGAACAAAATACTGCTAATTACTTTTGGTTCCAGGAAAAACATAAGATATTTAAAAGATACTTTAAAATTTAACATTATCTTGCTGTTCTATTAATCTAAATTGCTAAAACCTTGAAGCTGAAGCTCTTAGGAGAGCCTTTTGGTAAGTTTAGAATGGTGAAGATCAGGCACTAGAAAGAGTTTAGCATGTTTCCCTTTATAGGCGTCTGACCATTCTAACCAAAAATAGAGGTAACACTAAGTGTAATGAATATAACAGGTAAAAATATAGGTCTAGGCATTTAATTAAATGTTGTAACTTAATGCACTTTCTTAGTATTAGCAATCAACATTTAATCATTGCTATATATGAATTGCCTCTTTTTTACTTTGGTTTGAATTTTTAAAAAAACTTTTTAGGTAATATTCTAATTTTGCAAATTAAAAAAAAATAAAAGACTGTAAAATTTTAAGGGGAGTGGGGTAGGAAGAAAAATAATGGAGAGGGGGAACCAAACCAGGGTATAAGATATGTATATATGGAAATGTAACAGTGAAAGCCCCTGTATAACTGTCATATACTAACAAAAATGTTTAAACAAAAAGCCAGAACAAAACTTCAAGGGGTTTGGGGTATACCTCAGTGATTGAGCACCTTCCTCCCACATACAAGGGTCTGGGTTCAATCCCTGTTATTGACGAAATTTGCTTATTGAGTCATTTGTATTAGTGTATATCAGTAATGAAGAAAACAAAAAATGTACACAATATAGATTTCGAAAATATTAAATAGGGAAGCAAAGTATAGTCAAACGGTTTTATGGAGTTACATTGAGTGGTGCTGTTTTAGGGTAGCCTTTTTTACGTGTGAGATTTAAATGATGGAGAAGCTTATATATAATTTGAGGAGTTTACATACATTCTTACGGATTCACTGACAGCATCTTTTCCTGGAATCAGGACATCTCTGGGCTTCAGGACCATGAGTTTCAGATTCGGCATCCAGATTCTCCTGCTCTGCTTTACCAGTTTCGATTAGGAGATGAAAAACTCCAGGTAACTGGGTGGATATATTTCCAGGTGTAGAAAAAAAAGCCACCTAGGTTCAGTCAAACTGAGAGAATATGCACTTGCGGGGAATGTCTAACATTTCAACCACTGTTAAAGTACAGATTAGAGCAGATCTGAGGACCATCTTTCTAATTAGTCAGGATGTGATGAGTTGTTAGAAGGATATCATTCTTATTAAGAAACTATCGATAATGAGGCACTTATTTTACTTCGCTTTGGGATTTCTTTCATGTGGAAATTCACTTGGATTATGAGTTTTCTGGCATGTTGTACACTGAAGAGATTACCCCCTCCCAAAAGGGAATGCTGCCCAGTCCAACTTAGAACATCTGGTCGGCCAGTTTTATTTTTTGGAAGAATAAAATTTAGTGGATTTGTTGTTTTTCAGGAGATAGTATCTTTTTCTAATCAGTCTTTTCTTTCCATGCTCAGGCTCCCATGGCATTATTTTACCCAGCGACTTTTGGAATTGTTGGACAGAAAATGACAACTTTGCAGCACAGATCCCAGGGTGATCCTGAGGATCCTCATGATGAACATTACCTGCTGGCCACGCAGAGCAAGCAAGAACAGGTTCGCACCAGTGGTGGGAGAAGAAACAGTTTTCTCCCTAAAGCAGAAAGTTTGCCCAGAATTAATAGGTCATCATGATCACTGCAGTCTTCAGCAGACAAACCCTGAACTGTAAATGAAGTTTTGTTTTGTTTTGTTTTGTTTTGTTTTGTTGAGATACTGGGGTTTGAATTCAGGGTCTTCACCTTGAGCCACTCCACCAGCCCTTTTTTTTGTAAGGGTTTTTCGAGATAGGGTCTCATGAACTATTTGCCCAGGCTGGCTTTGAACTGTGATCCTCCTGATCTCTGCCTCCTGAGTAGCTAGGGTTACAGGCATGAGCCACCGGTGCCCAGCTGATGAAGTGAAGTCTTAATTAAGAATCTGCATGACAGATTTTCTTACTAAGCAGACATTAATTCAATTTCTGAATGTCAGTTCACACATTTAAAAGTTAACAATGAAAATAATTTCCTTTTGGCATGTATTATTACTTACATTATCTACTTCTGAATATTTAGTAGTATTTTAGTAAAATCTCATTTTTTAATGTGAAAGGTTTGTGGCATAAGCAAAGGGTTAAATTTTTTTTTTTTTTTTTTTTTGTCCAAAGGTAGTCCCAGTAATAGGATGTTTGGTATAATAGGGGCACATGTTTGCTAGTGAAACATCAACAGCGCAGGGTGAAGAGTAAACCTGGGCTTTAAATCTTTTCTAGGGTTTGTTCTTGCACCAGAAGAAGGAGGTAGTAAACTGGATCTGAAAATGAGGATTCCATAATAGCGCATAAAGCCCACTGAAACATTCCACTTCAGAACTCAGTTTAGAGCCAGGCCCAGTGGTACATGCCTGTAATCTCAGCTCTCAGGAGGGGATGGTGAGGCAGGAAAATCTTGAGTTTGAGGCCAGCCTAGGCTACACAGTGAAACCCTGCCTCAAAAAAAAAAAAAATAATAATAATACAAAGCTCAGTTCATAGGGAAGAAAGTCTGTTGACATTTCAGTTTTAAAATTCAACCAGGGATGGTAAGGTTCTGAGATCTACCCTGCCTGCTAGAGATTCTTTTAAGAGTTGTCAGAACATCCTCATCCTTGCAAGCCCAGGTTATCTGGGAGTGGTTGCCGGGTGGTTTGTATATATTGTGATGGCTTTCGTTATTACAGAGGCATGTGGTAGTGGGAAGGGTTAGATCTAGCTAGACAGCACAACGGTGTTGTGTTGTAGTCATACAATCTACTTGATGGTCCCTTTGATTTATAGTCTGCAAAAGCTACTGCTGACCGAAAATCTGCATCCAAACCCATTGGATTTGAAGGAGATCTTCGTGGGCAGTCCTCTGATCTTCCAGAAAGACTCCATTCTCAGGAAGTGGACTTGGGGTCCTCCCAGGGAGACTGTCTGATGGCTGGCAATGATTCTGAGGAGGCCCTCACTGCGCTGATGTCCAGGAAAACTGCCATCTCCCTATTTGAAGGGAAAGCCCTGGGCCTTGATAAAGCCATTCTTCATAGCATAGACTGCTGTTGTAAGCACATTTGGGGAGACCAGGAGATAACAATAAAATGAGGTGGCAGTTGAGTGGATTGGTTCAGCATAGGGTGTACTTGTGCAGTGTAGTATGTTCATTCAAAAACTGGTACCTGCTCTGTTCTTGCCTTGGTAGGTGCTAGGAACTCAGTAATACAGTAGAATTGGTTCCTAGTCTCATGAAGCATAAATCCCAGTAAAAGGGATCAAAATAAATTACACAAAAAATGTGAACTTAAAACTATGTTGGGAGCTACAAAGTTGAACTTAATGGTCCTGATTGAGTTAATGAGGTTTTTTTTTTTTTCCTTCTCTGTACTCTGAGGTAGATACGAAGGGGTGGGAGACAGAGAAGGCTTTCTTGAAGAGTTATGGGAGAGATCTAAAGGCTGCATGAGGGGTAGCAGTCATGTATGGGTGGTCTTCCAGGAAGAGGAAGAAGCCTGCAGAGGCCAGTGTGGCTGGGAATCTGGATTCAAGGGTGAGGCTAGAAAGTAGTTCACACCACACTGGACCTCATGAGCCCCTTAAAGCGTATGGTCCTACTCTTCCAAGTAGCAAGAGAGTGGGGTGGCAGCTTGCTCACACTTGTGTTTTACAAGGTTCCCCTGGCTGCAGTGTTGAGGGTAGATTGTGGGGAGATCTTTGAGGAGGTTAGTGCAGTTGTTGCTCAAGCAAGAGATGATGGTGGGTTGACCTGGAGTGGTGGTGGTAAATAAGTGAAAGGGATGTCACTGTCTTTTCAGCATCTGATGATACCAAAAAGAAAATGTACAGCTCCATCCTGGTGGTGGGAGGTGGCTTGATGTTTCACAAAGCTCAAGAATTTCTGCAGCACAGAATTCTCAACAAAATGCCACCTTCATTCAGGCGAATTATTGAAAATGTGGATGTGATCACAAGGCCCAAGGTGTGTTGTTTCATTGTTCGAGCTGGACTGTATACAAATGAAACCAACCTTGGTTATTTCTTGTGGTAATGTTTGTGGACAAATAAAAGCTTGGGAGGCATGGGTTTGTGTCCTCTTGAGGGCTTGGGGAAGTGAAATTTTTACTTTCAGCAGGTAAAGATGAAGGAGCTTCAGGCAAAAGCACTGAACTATTGTTTTGGTTTCTCTTGTGCCTGATTTCCACCTTTGTGAAAGTACCAAGTGGGTTAAGATTCTCTCTTCCACCATGACAGCCAGAGTAGCTCCATTTTTCTCTGTCATAGAAAGGAGCTTCTGCTAGTCCCTGTACTAGAGATCTTTAAGAATCTTTTTGGCTTGAACTGTGTTAAACATAAACCCAGGAATTTAGAAACAGATCATGTCTGACTTCATTAAATCTCACTGCATTTTCCTGGCAATATTCTCATCCTAAGGGAGGGATTGTGGAGATAATTTATTCCATAAACATTTCATTATATATGTTTCTGCCTGTTAAGGCCTGTAGGAGCTTAACTATTTATGGAATAGTAGTGAAGAGTAATAAAAAACCATGAAGTTCTCTTGTCAGTTGAAACAGATATCTGTTGGGAGTCCTCTTTTTTTTTTTCTTTTCTTTTCTTTGTGGTGCTGCAGACCAAACCCAAGACCTTGCACATGCTGGGCACGTGCTCTACCAGTGAGCTACACTCCTAGCCCAAGTCCTACTGTCCTTAATGCAGGTGGAAAACCTGCCTTGGCAGAGTCTCCTCCCCTCAATTGAAGTAAATGATGTCTTATCTGCCTATGCTGAAAAGCCTTCTCTCTGGTCTAGGACATGGATCCCCGGCTGATTGCGTGGAAGGGAGGGGCAGTGTTGGCCTGTTTGGATACTACACAAGAGCTGTGGATTTACCAGCGAGAATGGCAGCGCTTTGGTGTCCGCATGTTACGAGAGCGAGCTGCTTTCGTGTGGTGAAACGGAGTAGAGAACACTGTTGAGGAAAACTCTTTGTATAAAAGATTTAAAGAATATATGTATTTTAATTTATTGACCTAGGTGGTTAATTTTCATGGAAAATAAATGAATTTCAACTTTATGCTCAGGATATGATGTTGGTTTGAAATCTGCTTTCACAGTCAGGACATTTGAGAACAAATGAACTTTCACTTCAGTTGTAAACTTTCACCCTTTCTCAGGGTTCCATAAACCTCCAGTGATACAAAATGCTGCTGTTGAATACTCTCACACGGTGAAAGTCTTTGTTTCATTTGACTTCTGAGCATCATCAGCAGGCAGATGTGAGGGATGGTATGTAGGTGAGGAGTAGAACTGCATGTGGTACCATTTTCCCTCTTGTCTAAGAAGAGCGGTTAGGATCTAAAGACATCTGAGTTTTGTGTACATATGATTCATGTCCTCTTGGAATTCCAGATTGGGGGAGGGGAGAGGGTTGTGGTTATTTTGTGGGTTTTTTTCCATTTTCTGTTGGATTACAAAAACGTTGAGACCGATTCAGGTCTTAGGTTTCCTGAGGCAAAGATACATGTCTGAGCTGGCTGGCTTTTGTTCCTTGACAGGCTCTAGGGTGGGCTTAGGGAAAGACTACTATTATTTGACCAAAATAATACAATTGTGAAGAGAGTCATGTTTCTTTCCTAAAGCCAAATAGAAATAACTTAATTGTTAGCTGTGTTGTACAGATAAACCAGGTAGCTTCTGTAACTAACTTCATCAAGTCCCCAGTTTTCCTTTACCTGAAGAACCAGGTGAAAGCTTTTGCAGTTCTTTATGTTCCTTGTGATCATTTGACTTTTAGCCTGTATTATGGTGCAAAATTGAAATAACAGCCTTTACCCCTGTAGTCCAGCCCTGGGGAAGTCTGAGCCACTGGCAAGGGGAACAAAAGCTTATGTGGAGACAGAAGCCTGTCAGGAAGACAACCTGGGGCTCAGTGACCAGGAGGAAGGGAAGAAAGACTGCTGCTAGGCATGTGTTTCCACCATCTCTAAGGTTAAGACTGGCAGGAGGGAATCCTGGGTGAAAAAACAAAAGTAGGGACAGATAGGAGATGGAAGAGGTAAGAAGGAAATAAAGTCTAAGGTAGGGAGAAATGTTGGTAATGGAGCATATGTAACTGCTCAGTAGGTTAGGAACAAGAGGAGTCCATTAGTGTAACAAAATAATTTTAGTTTGCAAACTAATCCTATTTGGGATGTATGCCTTCAGTTTGAGAAAATTAAGTTTATACTACTGATGTTTTTTTCTGGACTATTTAACTGTGGTATTGACTGTTTATACTAGTTCTTCACATAACAGTGTTTTGCTCTTATAATGGGTATATGTTGATTCAGAGGAAGTTGGCCCAAGTTTTGACATAAGTCATACACATTTTCTATTATCAGTGCTTTTATAAGCATTGTGAAAACTCAGGATAAGTAAGTGAGCCTTGCCATATTAAACATACTGCTTCAGCCACTCTGAGGTATTTGGTTTTGAAGCTGGATGTGGTGAATTCCCACTTCATGCTTGTTCAGGTTTTTGTTTTATCAATATGACATATATTAGTGGTGACATGACCTTTTTAGAATAATTGCAAATGTATGCATTTTAACAATCATCCATCTGAAACTGATCCACATTACACAGAAGATTGAGTTTTATACTTTATGAAGCATTCTTAGAAAAGTACACATGCTAATATACATTTTTGTGACCCCTGCATTAAGAGTTGAAAGTCTCAAAAACGCCACATAGCTCTATGTTCTGTAACTGGCAATTCTAAGTAATCTATTATAACAACTCACTTACAAAAAGAAGACTAACTTTCAACCTAAAGATTAGTTTTGTTTTGAACATGAAAAGATATAACACAAGGAATTTTGATAGTGACCTCTATAGGTAACTTTGGGCAAAAGTAGACATTAGGTTTGTAGGTTATGTGTTTGGTATTTATTTAAAAGTCCCCTCTCTGCTCAGAGGCAGAGCACTTGTCAAGTATGTACAAGGCCCTGGGTTTGATCTTCAGCACATCCAAAATTTTCAAAATAAAATAAAATCACCTTTCCAAGAGTCAGGACATGAGTCTAGCTTGGCAAGGAAAGGCCCTGTGCAGATACCAAACAATATAGTGGGTACAATATATGAGGTCATCTGGTCAACCAAGATGGGTCCAGCTTGTTATTCCCTACTTTTTATTACCTTAAAAACAGATTTGTTACTAATAAAGTTTTTCTCATAGGAAGTTACTGAACTAGTGAGAGCTTCTTAAATATAGTATTCATTAATTGAACTTAGAATGTTACAGAGCTAAATGGGACATTTGGCTGGAAAGTCCTTTATTATCAGAATTAGTTTTCACTTATAACCATTCTTGATTTAGCTTTGTAATTATAAGTTGCATTTCAGTTCTTTAATGTTCTAGCAGTTAGTAATATTTGTAACATTTTTATTGGCATAAAATTTGTTAGTGGGTAAAATTTGGGCTTAGTTATAATTCTCCTACTCTAGTTCTAAAGCAGGTATATACATAGCCCTCACTACAAACAACCTGTACTTAAAACTTCAGGTCATCACAAAGCTTTTGTCACTGGAATTGGCAGGGTAGGAAGGCTTTGAGGTCTCTTCCCCTTTCCCGGGTGGGCTATAAAGGGGAATAACTGCTGTGGCAGGCTTGTGATTGTTTCCCCATTGACACATGAGATATGACACGGAGAAGTTCTACGCGGAAAGCATTGGAGTCCTTCATGAGGTGGTATTTAGGGCAGACATGGAGAGCTTCGTAATTGTTTTTGGTATCAGCCCCACTGAAGTAGACCACCATGTATTTGTGCAGATGATTCTGGCTACTTAGATCACTGCAGAAAAGGTTAAAGGCAAGAGGAAACAGGTCCTGAGAGTTGTCACTAGGGCTGCCCTCCCTGTGGCCACAGGTGGCATCACAAATGCTGTTGTCATCATTGGAAAGAAGGAAGATCACTCTATCTGCTGCCTGCTTCTGAGTGGTAAGCCACTGCACGGGACCCATCTCAGCTATTTTCTTTTTCTGCCACTTCTCAAGGATGACCTCACTTCTGCAATGGTTTTGAAGAAAGTCAGTGAAGTAACAGACTGTGTGATGGAAACATATCTCGGAAGGGTAAACCACAAGAACTTTAATGAGAGGCAGTAGCGTGGTTGTAGTAGGAAAAGACATCATCTTGATCCTTTCTGTAGGACACAGGAGGAAGGAGGATTTATCAGAACAGCAAATATCAGGCTTCCGCTCTAGTTTAAACAATCACTGATAAATGATTCCCAGCCAGAGAATGTCGGACTTGCATCAGGGACCTAGTTAATGCCAAAGGAAAAATATGCCTAATAGTCCTTTTGAATACAGCACCTGAAACACGGTGATGCTTAAGCCTTAAAAATGTTCGAGATGGGGGTTGGAGATTTAGCTCAGTGGAAGAGCGCTTGCCTGGCAAGTGTAAGGCCCTGAGTTCGGTCCCCAGCACCGGAAAAAAAAAAGGAAAAAAAAAAAAATGTTCGAGATGTATTTTCTAAGTCTCTGTCACTAAATCAGTCCTCTCAATTAAGCTATTTTCAAATTCATACAAACTATTTAGATTTCAGGTATTGTGCTTGGAGTAGGTTGTTGTAACTATTTTTAGTGCTATTTGTAAACATGGACACCTGACCTCTGCACATCATATTTTGAGTTGGGTCAATTCTGCAGTGATTTGTACCGTTTTTCTATCTGCAGGTGGTAGAGTTTCTTTATAGTTCCATAAAGTTAAGCCCCTGGAACTTAACTGGAATTTTATCCTATACTATGCTATGTAACAGGACTATGTGTGAAACTACTGTAACAGTGTAATTAATACAGTCCAAAAGACATCCTCTAAATATAAGTATAAACCACATGGTTTCTTAGCTTAGAAAAAAACATGGAGTTAATCTTGTTCTGCCTACAACACCACACACAACTCAGAAGGTGCAAAAAACTCCCTTTCCTAGGTGGAGAAGGGGAGAAGCAGAATCTTTAATGAGTCTGCCACTAGTTGTGATTCTATATAGATATCCTGATTTCATATTCAGACTCAATGTGGAATTGGGCAAAAAACCTTAGTATAGGAGTTCAAGATAATATTCTTATGTATTAGAATATTTTTTAAAAGCAGGAACTAGAATAGAATATCACAGGTGAAATGCAATGTGTTATTTCAGTACTTGGAGAAACTTCTATGGTAAAAATTAAATAGGTGGTATGTAGTCAACAGATGTCCAGGTCCTCACCCTGCTTTAACCTGGCAGGCGAGATCCAGTCATTAGCATACCAGGCTCTGTAGCAGTGCTCTTAAACCATTAAATAAAAGCTGCCTTAACCCTGGGAAATACAAACGTGATTACCTCTAGAGGAATCTCCTTTTTAAAAAGTTCACCTGGGTGCCTGTGGCTCACACGTGTAATCCTAGGTACTTGGAAGGCTGAGATTGGGAGAACAGCTCAGGTGAATACTTCTTGAGATCCCCATCTTCAAAATAACCAGAGCAAAATGGACTGGAGGTGTAGTTCAAGTGGTAGAACTCATGCTTTGCAAACGTGAAACCTTGAGTTCAAACCTCAGTCCCACCAAAATAAAGTTCAGGATGTGATTGCCTCATTTGGAATCTTTAAGGAATGATAACCTTTACCTTGCCTCCAAGTCAGGTAGATCCCAACTGCCAGCACCCACGTGGCCACCAGCAGCACCAGGAAGAGAGGCAACCAGCCTCCTAGCGCGGCTCTGTCTGGAGAAAACAGCTTATGCACCTTAGGCAAACAAACTCACATTTATCTCCTATTTGAAAGCTAAGGTTTTTTTTAGACTTTGAGGTAGTTGAGATCCCTTTAAAACCAAGGATCAAGATTTTTAAGGAGTCTGTTGATACTGTATTTTCCCAGTTTCCAGGTCTCTTATTTGATTCTCAGTGGGGATAAGGGACACAGGAAGTGAAAACAGTTTCTGAAATCTCTTGGGTTTCTTCCTCCTTAACACACAGATATTTTAACTATGGTAACCAGAGTCTCTGCGCAGATTTTTGTTCTTTGATTTAGTGCACTTACATATATAACACACAAGGTAGAAATAAGAATTGGCACCTAGCTTATCTTCAGTTCATTTGGCTGATTCTTAACACCACCTTCTATCTTTTGACCCCACCCATGGGCTAGCTCTGGAAACATTTTATTTGCTCATTGCTAATAAAAGAACTTGACACATCTGTAAATGCAGAGACATTTTCCAGAACATGCTGCTCTCAGGCACCAGTGAGGCAACTTTTGGTGCCAGTATTCCTGATTTGTTATCCAAATGTTGGCTGTGTGACTATATCAAGTCACAGTAACACAGCTTGGCCTGGGCTGCTGAGACTGATAAGAGAATCAGAATGCAAAGAAGGGCACGTTCCCTTGTATACCCAGTCCTGCACTGGTGACTTTTCAGCAGAATCTGTGGCACTTTGCATTATTTTTTTCCTCCTGTATATCCTGCTTTGAAAAGGATCATGAGTGGTTTTATAAATTCTTTATTCTTACTCAGATGATGGACTGTCTGGGACAGCATTGGCATCTTCTTGTCACCTCAGTTTAGTATACATAGGCAGGGACCCCTCACACATTGAATAGGTTCTGTATGTCCTGCACCTCTAATCATCCTATGACAACTGGGCACTTACTGTTATCCAGAGGCAAGGGGCCACCTGTTTGTGGGCAAAGTATAACAATTCCTTTCCGGCGGATGCAGTCGTTGCCACAGGTACGGAAATAGGGAGTCACCTGAGGATAAAGGAGAGGCTCAGAAAGTTCACACCACCCTCCAGAGTAAAGGCTTAGCAGTACTCCTTAACAATATGGCAACCTCCTCCCTTTATTCTGGTTTCAACCCTTCCTCTAGCATTGGCATGGGCATTTTTCCCCTGCTCAAACTTTATGTAAGAAAGCCCAAAAAATCCAAGCCAGTGACCCAAGACTGAAACACCTTCTAAGACTCCAGGATTCTGAACCTAAAGTTTGTGCATGTTACTAACATTGCTGGTTTCCTTATCTAAAAGGGCTGGGTTAGATCCTAATAAATATACAAATATTTCTCATAGGATAACAGAGCAGTAAGGTTCCTGTTGACCTCAGTGCTTTATGACAGGCAAATCCCCTGGCATTAGGAATGTCTATGGCTCCCTAGAAGAGGGGTACAAGTCACATGTTGCCAGGCTCCCCCTGGCCAGCCTGAGCACTGCCTTCATGTTTCAGGGAATGAAGAACAAAGGCTTTCCCACTCTGGGGTGTGCAACCCTTTGTCCCCACATCATAAATTCAAGAGACCTGAGAGTACCTACTGATCCAACTTTCTGTTTCCCCCTGAGTCAACTGAGGCTCCCAGAGGATAGGCAGTTGCTCTCCAAAGTTCATCCATCTAGAACCCAAGTCTTCCAGTTTCAAATCCCTTACGACTACATTTTGCAATTAAAACTAAGGTTTGAGGAAATAAAATGGTTTTCCTATCTCAAAATTACTCTGAGGGCCTGTGTAGATAGTGGAAATAAAAGGACTTTGGGAAGTCAACATCCATTTCTGTAAGTAGGGTCAGCGTTTCTGACATCATTACAGTAAAGACTGCAACAAGGAGTCTCTTAATGCAAGACTGCCGGAGAGGAGACACCTGATATTCAATGCATCCAAAGTACCCAATAGAACAACCAGACTGCCAGCAGCTCGCCCTCCCCACACCCCTCATTAAGCTCACCTGAACCACAGCACCTTCACTTTCCCCGGTCACCAGAATGACTACAGAAGTCCGTGTTAGTTTGTTCTGATGTAGATACATGAGACACAATCAAGAATTATATGAGTGAGGAGATCAAAGACTGCCAAGGACAAAGACACCTTCCCTCACTGACTTTCAATTCAGACTACATGTGAAAAAGGATTCATGTCATACACTGAAACATTTACCTCTGGTTGGTTTTAGGTCATCCCCAGGATGCCCACAGAGACTTGTTTTCTATATGTTGAGTCAATAAAAATAGCTCATCATGCTTGCTCAATAGAGAGTTCAGTACTCTTTCAAAAGTAAGCTTATTCAGGGAAACCTAAAGTGTCTGCATTTTCCTTCAACACGGTAAGAAAGCTGGAGGTTGAGAACAGGGGTGATGATAAAGGAAATGAAGAGGAAAAGTACCTCTACCACATTAGAAAACCCCATGACGGTGTTATGTTGGATAAGAACCATGTATCTGTCTCCAAGGGAACTGATTGTAAAATTCACTTCTACCATCTTCTCGTCCTTCTTACAAGCAGTGATATTTGGATCCCACAGACTTCCTGAGTTGAAAAAGAACCACATAGATGAACTTGCTAACTGTTCCCTCATTTAAATCCCCCAAAAGACTTCACAGAAACAAGTCCAAGTTCTTAGGCACACTTCCAAGAATAAGGGCTCTAACACACAGTGTATTTTTTAACATTGCTCCCAGAATCTCAAAACACCCACCTCTGCCCTCCCCCACCCAACACACACATACGCAAACACTGTTTTGCCAAAAAAAAAAAAAAAATAGCCTTCTTGAGCTGGGAGTGATAGGAGGTTTGGGTTCCACTACTCATTTCTGTTCTCAACCTGTATTTTGAGTTAAGGGCTAGAGCCAATATTTTCTCCTTCCCAGAATAGGAGAAGCTACAGACTAGGAGACATGCCTAAGATTATGGAATGAGTTCAGAGCAGGACTCCATTGACTAGGCCATTTTGTATTCCAGGAGCTTCATCCATAACAGCATCTGCCAGCTTTACTGGATGCAAAGAAGGAAATGCCTCAGCGCTTAGAGGATTCCCTGATAGGCTGTCAGAAAAAGCCAGTTGTTTCATTGATGTGACTTGCAAATGAGGACTAGGTTTGTTTCCAGGAACATGATATAACAACACAAATTATCTTCCTCTTGTAGGAGGCCATTTCAGACCTGGTTCAGAATTATCTTTAGGAGTTCATTGTAGGGGTGATTTTAGATCCTCAGACCTCATACCTTCAGTGCCTTCATACGTCTACAGATTTCTGTCAGGGGGAGGCAAGAAAGAAGCCCTGGGCTCCAGGTCTGCCTCTGATAGTGACAGCACATAAGCTTAGTTTGACAGGGTACACAGGAATGCCTTATGGGGTGAATGAGTACCTAAAAGATTTGGATCAAGCCCCCGAAAGCACCACTCTCCTTATTAGCTATACTGCTGAGATGTTTACACTAACCCTTGGAAACTGGGCATTAGGAATTGATTATCCTGGTGCTATTTCACAATTCAAGGGGGAGGGCTCTAATAGTCTGGCATGGTGAGGCCATCCCCTTTGAGGACACAGGTTGAGAGCCTGCTTTTAGGTCATTGGTTAATACTCCCACCCTGAATGTTTGCTAATCCAAACAGAAGCTTCTCAAGGTCCCCATGGCCACAGGTCAATAGTGGTGGTGAACAAGTGACTCCTGTCCCGTTAGGAACAGCCTTCAGTTTGCACCACTGTTAAGTGTGGCTTAGACTAAAATGTCAGTTTAACAAAATGGGTGGGGGTGGCTTTGTGTGAGACACATCTAAGCCTAAGAGTGTATCCTTCCCTGGACATCTGCATGTGTCAGTGGGTATGGTGTTAAGACGGGGGTCAAGAGCCCTGGGTGCTTCTGCCTTCACTGAGCAGTTTGGATCATACCTCCCAACTCTAGGCCTTAGTTCTTATCTTGTGAAAGACTGGATGGAGCTGTGCTGGCTCAAGTTAGGATCATCTTCAAATAACAAAAACAAAAAATGCTACATCAACTTACCTGCCTCGATGCACTTTTTTTTATATTTCATTACATGGTCTAGGCAGCCTGGAAATTTGAATGAAATTTTTTACACTTTAGAAAAAGTTTTCTCTATAATACTCCCCTGCCAACAAATATACATATACACCTGTAACACACTGCCAGAACATTCCAGATGTGAGACAGCAAATCCAAATAGGACACTACCATTTTACTGTTAAACAGAAAAATCATGTACCCACGGAGCTGTAATCAGTCTTTAATTCTTTTATTTATTTATTTATTTATCAGTACTGGGGTTTGAACTCAGGGCTTTGCACTTGTGAAGCAAGTGCTCTACCACTTGAGTCATGCCTGCAGACCCCCACTATCTTTAAAAAAAAAGTGAGGTTTGGTAATAGTAAGTTTGGTATACTGGATTCTGCCCCTTCCAGCTTAGTCCGCTCAGCTGCCTAGCACACACTATACTAACCAAGTGATGAAGGTGAACCTTATCAGTGACACCAAGCCCTTGACAGGACATGAAGAGAGACCTCTTTGGGATTCTTTTTTTTTTTTTTTTCTTGCAGTACTTCGGGGTTGAACTCTGAGCTTTATGCTTGCTAGGCAGCCACTCTACCACTTGAGCCTCTCCATCAGCCCTCTTTGCCTTGGTTATTTTTGAGATAGTGTCTCACAGTATGTACTCCTGTTTGTGCTTCCCCACCTAGCTGAGATGACAGAAACATGCCACAGTATCTAGCCATTGGTTGAGATAGGATTGCATGAATTTTTTCTCCCAGCTGACCTCAAACTGCAATCCTTCTGATCTCTACCTCCAAGTAGCTAGGATTATAGGCTTGAGCCACTGTGGCCAGCCCCTTTTGTGGGATTCTTCTCAAAAACCCTACCCCCAAGCTAAGCATGAGACAAACATCAGTCAAACCCAAATTGGAGGCCATGTATAGGATGCTTATCAAGGTAATGAAAAACATGGCTAAGAAACTGACCAGAAGAGACAGTTGACACAGGTACTAAGTACAACTAGAACAGAAAGGAGACATTAATGGAAAAGCTGGTGAAATCCAAGTAAAAGTCTGGAGTTTAGTTAATAGAAATGTACCAATGCTGGTTTCTTAGTATATTTGTCAGCGTACCCTGGTAATGTAAATTGGTAACAACTGGAGAAGTTGGGCAAAAGGTAGGTGAAAACTCTTTGTACTATCTCTGCAACTTTTCGTCAATCTAAAATTATTCTGAAAAATTTTTTAAAAGCTTATTTAAAAACAAAATGAGGTTTGATGTTATCAAGAAAGCTAGAAATTACTGTTTAGTAACTAGTGTGGCATCCAAAACACTTTAGAGGATGTGAGGGCGATCTGGCTGCGACATCTGTCACCCCATTGATCACCAGGGTTGATTCGGCTGATCTGGCTGGCTAGGCGGGTGTCCCCTTCCTCCCTCACCACTCCATGTGCGTCCCTCCCGAAGCTGCGCGCTCGGTCGAAGAGGATGACCATCCCCGATAGAGGAGGACCGTTCTTCGGTCAAGGGTATATGAGTAGCTGCACTTCCCTGCTAGAACCTCCAAACAAGCTCTCAAAACACTTTAGACTGCCCAAGCGCACTGATCAAAAAGGACCAGAGTTTGAAGGTCAGCTTCACTTTTTCTGAGTGATTCCTGAGTGAATCACTCAGCCCGGGGTAAGTGATTCACCACTCAGTTCCCTCACCTGTAAGTTGAGGAATGGAATGGAATTTTTAACTTGACTTAACTCTCTCTATGAATGCATAGCAACTTCTACTGGGTCCATATTATAGATGAAGAAATTGAAATCTTATAAGGCCAAAATCTTGTCCAGGGTTCCCTAGGCTCTCTGAACCAAACTATATACCCCAGAAAGATAGACAATCACTGAAGAATTGAAGAAGTTTACCTGGTGAGGTGAAGTTGACAGACAAAGAAGGGCCATCTTCATTCATATTTGCATTGGGTATATTATGGGCCCCGATGAAATAGAGTGTGCTCAGTTCCACAGGAAAGCCCACATAGGAGAAGGTCCACTGAAAGGCAAAGCAAGGTGCTTCAGCTCTAGAAGGCTATTTGATGCAGGAACAGCACCTCTGTGAGTTGCTCTTTTCACTCATGATTTCATCCCTGATGCTACTTCTGAAACTAAGGTCTCTAGCCAATGTCCACTTAGGGAATGGGCCCCATACAATTTGCTGATAAAACTCAAAGAATCAAACAGGCATAAAATTTTAGAACCAGGATACAATTTAAGTCCAGTTCCCCTTACTTTGCTGATGGGGAAATTGAGGCTCAGAGATGCCTAAGGCACAGAGCAAAGAAGTGGCCAAAAACTAGAGTTTGAACTCAGGCATCCTGCTCTGTATCACAGCTGCTCACAGCCTGCTTGTGACACCTTCTCCATGCTCTCCAAACAAAAGGCTCAGCTTTCAATGACAGTCATGTGCCTTAAAATGCTTACTTTGCCACCAGAAGGTCTGGTCTGACTCTGGAAGGCCTCTGTGTAATTACATCTCACACAGCTGTAGGAATGCACATGGCTTTTGCCTGTCATGCAGATCTTGGTGGCCTTCAACAGACGGATGCTGGCTACAAAGACAGGGAAGCAGGCAGTTTTGTTACTCAGCACTTACTGTGTGGCAGACATCATGCTGGGTACTTCCCATACCTCATGTCAGTTCATAAGTACAGCAGCACTAAAAGACAGGCATTGTTGGGCCCAGTGTGCAAATGGGGCAGGAGTTTTGAGGAGCTCTGTCTATGCTTCCAAGCTCAGCAGCAGCAGTTATGAGTTCAAATTCCAAAGCTCAAATGATGAAACCACTTGCAATTGCTTTAAGTGGAATGGGAGGGTTTGTGGAAGGCAAGGGGAAGATGGAAGGGGCAATCTAACCGAGGTACATTATAAGGCTACTCAGAATTGTCACAATGAATTCCCCCTGTACAACAAATATATCCTAATAAAAATAGGGAAAAAACAAATTTCAAAGCCTAAGATCCATCCTCTTTATAGGTTGGCTAGAAATTCACAGGGTACCTATGACTAGTGCCATATCTGTACCACTGTGGGTCTCTTGAAGAGGAATGGACTACTTAATCAGGATTCGGACTACAATATAGCTGTTAAGTGCTATGTTGTTGTTCCCCCTGCTCAAAATAAGGTTGTTTTTTAACCATACGTGCCATTTCCCTGTAGCAGCCAGGGACTCTTGGTGTCATACATGTAGAAGAAAAAAAAAAAAGAGGAATGTACTGCTTGGGGAACCCCACAAAGACCCTTCAAGAACATTATCACCAAATCATGTCTGTTCTGACTGCTTTTTACCCTGGCAGTTCATTCTCTAGTACCTCCTTTCCTCCACTCTACTTCTTTTTTTTTTAATTTCTTTTATTCATATGCGCATACAATGTCTGGGTCATCTCTCCCCACTTCCCCCACTTCCTCCTCCTCCCTTCCACCCCCCCCTCCCCGCTCCGAGCAGAAACTGTTCTGCCCTTATCTCTAATTTTGTTGAAGAGAGATTATAAATATTAATAAGTAGAATTGAGGGTTTTTGCTGTTTGAGATAAGGATAGCTATAGTGTGAGATTTCTGTCATTGCTTTCCTGTACATAAGTGTTACTTTCTAAATTGATTTTTCTCGAACTAATCTTTTCTCTAGTTCCTGGTCTCCTTCTCCTATTGGCCCCTGTCACTTTAAAGTATCTGCATTAGTTTCTCTGTGTTGAAGGCAACAAATGCTATCTGGTTTTTTATATGTATTATATATAAAATTTTATATAATATTTATATTATATAAATATTATATTATTTATATTATATATTTATATTAATATTATATTATTTATATAATATTTTATATGTATATATATTTTTATATGAGGGAGAACATACGATTTTTGGTCTTTTGTCTACTCTACTTCTTCAAGTCTCACTACTTTAAAGCCTATCACCTGCACCACAGCCAGTCACAACAGCTAATAAAAGCTCACTCTGCAGGGATGGGACCAGTCTTACCACATGGACTCACAAGTCTCCGCAGGGCCCCTCTCATGCTCTTCCCTACTCCATCCACTTGCATGGAGCGTGGAGCACAGCTCCCTTAGGGGCTGACTGTGTTTGCCTCCCCAACCTCTCTGAAAACCCCACTCTTGCCAGTTCCCCTCTCTGTGCTTGCCACACATGAATTCTTGAGCTCATTGAATTTAACTGAATTTAGCAGATGAAAACCACAAACATGGGCATTAGGGTCCTAGGATTAGCTGATCATAAGAACCCAGAGGCTGCCTTGCAGCATAACATGGAACAAAATGCCAGGATTTTCATGATATCATTTGAGAAGCAGAAAAATAACCTAAGCCAGTGCTTTTCCTAAACTGGGAGAATCATCTCTGACCTTCCACTATCTTCTTCCAAGAAGTATAATATACAGAAAAATACACAGATCAATACACCACTTGGTGAATTTGCACACTCATAAAACCAGCACAAGTCACGAAACACCCTCCCAGGAGCACCCTGTACTTCCTTTCAGTAACTGCTCCACCCCAGAACAGCCACCATCCTGACTTCTAGTTAAATTTTGTTTTGCTTTCAAAGGAAAGATGTAGCTTATATGTATAGCTATGGGCATGCATATAGGTACAAATGCATGAACTCTGGAATCTGGCTGCTTATGTTTGTAGCATCCTTATTGTGTGTGGTTATAGATCATTCCTTCTTGTTGCTGTATTGTGTTCCACTCTGTGATTACATTCTACTGTAGGGCATTTGAGTGCTTTTGGGTGTTAGGAATAGTGCTCCCATAAATGTCCTAGGATGGGGCTTTTGGTGCATGTGTGTAGGTATTTCTGTTGGATATGCCTAGGAATGGAATCACTGGGTCATATACCCTGCACATTTCTTCTTCAACAGACATTTTAAGCCTATATTTGATTGATGCAAACTTACCATCTGCCCGGAGTATCCAGCTTATGTTCATCAGAACTGAATAGTCTTCTGCTTCAATATTGGTTTTTACGAGTTCTACTCGGAGGTCCCTCAAGTCTCCTGGGGTCAGAGTGTGTTGGACCATCCACTCTGGAGATGGCCCTGGGAAAAGGCAAGACTTGCTATGACACCCCCTTCTAGGCCATTTGATGGCATCTCCTCTAAGTGATCCACTCTGATCTGTCCACCATTCACAACTCATCACATCTTCCTGATAAGGCAGGCCAAACCTTTCTGGATGCTGACTCAAGGAAATACTTTCAGCCTCCTGGTTCCAAACTACAACACACTTGGGACCACTCCAGGTGTGCATATCATGTATCTGAAGTATTGACTTCCCTGTGCCTCTGTCTAGCTGACTCCACACCATCACCACTTTTCCACCTCCTAGACTTTGCTGCTGCTGCCTTCTCCCCTCCAGTTCACCCTTCCTATCCACATTTCTTGGACAGAAATCTACCCATTCTTCAAATACTACCAAAGCACCCATTCGTCTATAAAACATTGCTTCCTGGTTCCAACTGTAACTGACCTTCCTCACCCTGTACTGGATCTCCCACTGCAGAGTGCAATAGCAAGTCCCACTCTGCCTGCAGCCCCTGACTGGACAGGAGGCTAGCCCACCTCAAAAGTCCTCATTATTCCCCCAGAGTTTTGCCTTGAGAATTTTTTGGGGGGTGGAGGGGAACTAGGATTTGAACTCAGGGCGTCAAGCTCACAAAGCAGTTGCTCTACCACTTGAGCCATACCTCCTGCCCTGACTTGAGAAATTCAACCCACAAGCTAATAAATCAATGATTTATCCTGTGCCTGATCTTCAAGGGCTAGATTCAGGTCTTCTTAAAAGTCCAGCTGTGATTCAATGTAATCCCCAATGCCCATGCTCTAATGCACCTACCAGATTCAGAGCCACACTGAATGGTCTGCAGGAGAGAAAGAAACCAAGTGTCATGTCGAAGCCAACAAACCATAAGCCTTCTTTTATCAAATTAGACAAAAAAAAATCCATCTTTTTCCTTAAATGCATACACAAGTGGCAAGCTTTCAAAGAAAAGGTGAGCTGCTTCTACTTCACAGCTTAGGGGAAACGAAGCTTCCTAATTGTAGCTTATGACAGACCATGAGCCAGCCATTGATATGCTTGATCCTCCAGGGGCCAGAGGTGGTCTCCACTCATTCCTGGGTATCATCTTTCCCTGCCACAAACAGAGGATGATCCTGAGGCCCCTTTACGCTCTAATGTTTGGCTGTAAGTTTTCAGGACCATCTGGAGTATTTATTGAGTTTCCCCAGGTTAAGTATTGACTGTGTAAAGAAAAAAAAAAGCAATGCAGTCGATGGTACCTTCCCCAGGATCTTAACATATTCTTTTCTGATGCAGGACTTGAGTGATTTAGACAACCACAAGTGACTATAATTTCATCATACTACCTTTTAAAAAGAGCTTTCAAAAAAAAGAAAAAGCAAATACATAACATGTGTCCAAGCTCGGTAGGTCAGTACTAAACCATCTGAAGTTAACTGCTCGTGTCTATACATAAAAATAGTTAGTACTTTGGTTTTGAAATAAAATACTGAACCTAAAATATTTAACTTTTAGTCAGAAGCAAGTTCCCATGTGAAGACTCAATGTCATAAATCCATGAGTTATAGAATCTCATCCCACTAAGCCTCCAAATTTCCAAACATCTTATAAGACAGAAGACAAGACTCTTTCATGGTTTGAGTGAAGTCCTCAATCATCCCTTTGTTTTTGTGAAACTGAATTGGAAGAGATATCATCAGATACTCTTTTCAAATAAATAAGCCACTATACCAGGGGCTAAGTTCTTCTTCTTTTTCTTCTTCTGGACTGGGGTTTGAACTCAGGGCTTTGTGCTTACAAAGCAGGCACTCTGGTTTGAGCCATGCCTCCATTTTGCTCTGGCTATTTCTGGAGATGAGGGTCTCTGCCTAGGCTGGCCTTAAACTACAAGCCTTCTGAGCTCAGTCTCCCAAGTAGCTAGAATTACAGGCATGAGCCACCAGCAAGACCTAAGTTCTTGTTGAAAGGCTGATGGAACACATTTTTGGAAGAAGCCAAGCAACTCTAAACTTGACATAGTTGAAACTGTTGCCCGCAAAGGCAATGGATTCTTCCTCCAGAGAAAAAGTCAAGGGGATCTCAGACACAGAGGTCAAAGACAGCTGCTGAAGACATCAGGACACAAAGATGGGGTACGTATGACTTCGAGAACCCACCATCCTTAGATGCTCTAGACTATGCTGAGACAGCTGGGCTTGATTTTGAATGCTATTTTGAGGATAGGCTTTTTCCTCTTGGTGGACCCAGAAGATTCCTTCAATCAAGGGACTGGGGAAAAAAGGAAACCTAACTTCGGGAATCAACAAAGAAAGAAAAGCAAGCAGGCAGATGGTAGTGAAGTTTTTATGCCCCAACAGGTGGGCAGACCATCCTTGAGCAATAATGAGAGTCTACTTACTCATTGGCATCAACCAGACTCTTTGCTGCTGCTATGCAGGCCATGCTGTTGTTAGGATACCTGGGAAAGTTAGGTACCACCTTTTCCTGTTACCTTTAGGTAGAAATGACTAAATCCAGAACCCTGCTGGCTTTTGTGATCAGGCCTGTCTGACCATGGCCCAGACCCAAGCAACCTAACACCCCATGTCTGCAGGGCTGAGAAGAGCAGACTGATGGAGGTCTGAGCTCCATCAGGGCCGCAGGAGGGCTGCAGATTTGCCAGTCCAGAGGGTAGTCCATGGTTGCTTTCGGAGAAGCGTGACCTGGCCGGTGGGATGCTGTCTGGGTGCCAGAATGAGGGCTTGAAGGGCTGGAACCAGGGAAGGGGTACAGGCTGGGGCTTACCGACTCTTGGTGCATGGCGCTCCTGCACAGCGCGGCCAAGCTTAGCAGCACAAGCAACATAGCCTGGCCACTGCCCATCACCACTCGGGGCGCCGGCCAGCTGCCCGCCGCGCTCTTATCCCGGGAAGCTCACTCGGGGCTCCGCCTCCCACAGCGCCACCCCGGGCTTTTCCGCCTGGACAGGGGCGGGCCGATGGTCCCCTCCGGGGGTGAGGGGACAGTCGCCTCACTCTCGCCCGCTGGGCTCGTGAGGGTGGGCGGGGTCCGAGCGGCTCGTGCACCTGGGCTGGCAAAGCCCGAGCATCCGAGGCGAGAGCCGAGCCCTGTGCACACGTGTGTGCGGTGAGCCAGGTGCGGCGCCAGCACCTACGCCCGGGGCCGCGCGCCCTGCCCGAGCCTGAGCCCGTTCGGAGCCGAGAGGCCGAGTGACCCGTCGGATCCTTCCGACGCGGAGAGCGCGCGGGTGCAGCCTGTTAAAGTGTCACCTCCACCCGCTCAGCTCCTGTTGGGCGGCGGCCGACGGTCCGGCGCTGGGGCCCAGCGGTCAAGGGTGAGTAAGGTTCTCGGGAACCTCCCGCCCTGAGTCTTGGTGGGTCAGGAGGACTTGGGGCCCCTTTACGCAGCGGCCGAGCTCGAGAAAGCAAAGGGTGGGACGCGGGCCACCTACGCCTTATCGACTTCTTTGAGGAAACTAGTGAGCAGGAACTTGGGCGATAAGAAAGCGATAGCAATCTCCACTCTTGCCCCTCAGGTTTGCTGGTAAATGGGTATTTCCACAAAATGAGGGAGGGTGGGGGGAGGGCTAGTCCCCAAAGCTGAAACTTCAGCGCTGTGGGTTTGCAGCTGAGGTTCTCAAAGTTTTCTGTGCTCAGGATTGTCGAGATACTGCCTAAATGAGATTGGGACTATAGGGCCTGGCAAGGTTTCCACCGCCCCTCCCCCTCCCTTAATTCTGGGGCGAGGGGCCCAGGGACCATCCTTTGAGATAGTGGTTTGGGGGTTGGTTAACAATCAGTTGGGTTTACAGTGGAGTTAACAAAGCCTGGAACTTTACTGCTTCAGACCTCATTTGCAAACGGCAATGTTGGGGGTGACCCACTCAGGGTCTCAAAGTAGTATGCCCAATAGGAGCCCTAGAGCAGAATGTGGAACTGCTGGGTGACTGACTTGTCAGCTGGTGAGAGGCTGTGCTGAATTAAGCAACTGGGTTTGCTAAAGTCTAGCTCACCTGTGGGGCTGAAGGTTCTGAGGTGAGGGTTCTGGTTCTGGCCCACAGAGAGCAAGGGGCCAGGTTCAGTCCCTAGCCTCAAGGACTGCAGGAGCTCTGACACACATGCATGTGGGGTTGCAGTAGACATTTCCAGAGGATTGATCTGTCTCCTGACCAAGGAGGGTCACTCAGGTGATGTTTTGGTCTCACCCCTGCCTGGGGCTATGCTATTCTGGGCCCCTCACTCAATCTCTGAGTTACTTTGGGCCCTGTGGTCCCTGAGATCATTTGTAGCTCTAATAGTGGTCTTTCTGTATAGCAAACAACTGCCAGGTACCAGTGTGCAAAGGTGAGCAAGCACATGGGTACTCTTGTGCTGAAGATGAGTGCAGTGGGAGGCACATAGTCAAGGTCACAAGTGCCTGCACTGCTTCATCTGCCAGCTTGAGACTGAACTTTGTCCCATGGTGCCAAGGGACCACTGTTTATGTGGTAGTCAGTCATCAGATTGTGAAAGTCCAGCTGAATATCTGTGCAGGGCAATTGTGGGGGGGAGGTGTAAGCCCCTCTGAGACCAGTAAGGCTCAGCTGAGTTGTCAACATATTCACTTAGTGTATAGGGGAGAGCTGGTCCTGGTCCAGGCTCCAAGCCGTAATAAGCTCAGGAATAAGTGCAAGGATTTTGGGACAACTGGGATGCCAAGTTCTTCCTGGAGAGAGGTCTGTGAGTGAGGTGTTGCTAGGGACCTTGGTGAAGACAACCTGGGGGAGACAACAAGGGGCTGTAGAAGGACATCCAGGTTTAAGGCAGGAGCCACATGGGCACAGAGACCAGAGGTAGCTAGCTTGGTGTTGACAAGAACAGGTGGGCCACAGCTAATGTGTAGCAGGAGGAAGTGGGGGCAGTTTCTTTTGTTTTGTCTTGAAGAAAGTGGGCAGCTGAGTTCCTTCTCGAGGGGATGAAGGTAGAAGAATAGAATGAGGGTGATGTGGTTGGTTGGCCATGTGGGAGGAGGGGGCAGTGCCTGGACAGGAGTGTCAGCAGCCTCCAGACACAGTGTGAGCTGTGGACTAGCCATGACAGACATAAAAATGACACTGTCCAGGCTTCCGGGATAGGTAAATGCTGGTGGCTCACTCTGGACAGGACTGTGGAGAGAGCAATGGAAGGAGAAGGTGAGAGGAGTTCCATGTGGGTGAACAGGACATGCATGCTTGTCTCCTCAGGGGTCTTCACAATAGTTCATGCCACAAGTGTCCTTCCCATGAGAGGTCCTTGCTGACTAAACATGCAGCCTTTGCGGTAGCCTGCTGGAAGGGACCCAGCTTATTTGGATATCCAAAATCGATAAGGGTGTGGATTTATAAACTGGAGACAGAATCATGAGCTTCTTCTCCCTGACATCTGGCAAGCCATGGCTCTTCTCAGAGCCTTAGTTTCCTTTTCTGTAGCTACCCTGTAACAAGGTAGTTAATGGCAATGATGTGATTGGAGTCTGAAGAAGTGACCTTTGGAAATTCTCTGGTTTTCCCCCTCTAGTTCTGCTAAGTCTGGATTTTTGAAAGCCATCTGGCATGGTGCACCTTCATGGCAGGGGAGGAGGGGTAGTATGTGCTCATTAAAAGTCTGAATGAATGAATGAATAAATCAGCAACTACCTTCCTCCAAGGCCATGTGTAAACCTGCCCCCACCCCAACCCCTTAGAAGAACTGCTTTGAACTTTCTTCTCTTCCCCCACAGCTGAGTGAAGGTCAGAGCAGTGAAGACATCTCTTTCCAGTACACGTAGCCTCTGACAGGACCCAACAGGCTTTGGGGGCTGAGATTCTCAACCTCCACACTGCCTGGCTCTGCGACTCACTTGCCAGCTCTTGGCCTTGGCCAAGGCTCTTGGGCTTTTGGAGTCTCCGTTTTAACGCGGGGATGACATTAGCTCTTTCTATCAAGCAGGGCTGTTGGGAGACTGTAAGGAAAGAAGACAGAGGAAAGCAAATTGAAGGGCGTAAAATCGTTGTGTAAATGGAGGGGAGGGGAGAGAAGAGGAGGGAGGACAATTTAAAACATTCCTGTTCTCTCTGTGACCCAAATGGGGAAATTCCCTTGGACCCAAGACAGACAGTCCTCAGATCCTGTCACTGCTATTCAGACCTTTGTGACTCTGCTGGATCCATCCCTGAAACAACAAGGCCATGAGGGTTGTTGACAAGTCCTGGGTCCAGCCTCCACCCACACAGGTGGAACTTTCCACTTTGTTCCCTTGCAAATATTAATCAAGACCCTGGTCAGTCAACAGTGGATTCATTGTCTCCTGAAGAGGGAGCGGGTTCTGACAAATGCCAGCTGCCTGCCAGGGCCCCGGCAGTTGTGGGAGCAGGAAGAGAAGCCTTTGCTTTGGCCCATGCCCTCTGTTCTGCACCAGAGGCTTGGACTCCAGCAATATTAAGTTTAATGCCTGCTTTGAGCCAGAAACGCTGAAACCACACCCAGGACTTACACTGCACTGTTCCCCAGCAGGGTCACTGAACTGCACACATTCTCTGCCACATAAGGAGGGGTTGCCCAGGAAAGCACACAAACTAAGGTCATGGTGGAAACTCAGAGATAATGTCATTCCCAGGATGAAACCCTGTGAGGTTTGCAACCTGCATGTCCTGTTCATGGCTGTGCTCATGTGTGCTGTCCAGAACAGAGGAGTTTGGTATGCTTTTTCTCTCAAAGCCCCGTCTGTAAACCAGATGACAGAGGCATCCTCATAGGGATATAGGGCAAATCACTGGAGATTTTGGGGTAAAGCAGTTATAGCACAATGTTGGGCACACACAGCAGGGTTGATGGTATATGTTTCAGTTGATGATAATTGAATTAACCTGCTATAATATCCTTGGTCATAGTTGTAGCATCGCATTCTGTACTTCAGGGAAGAGGGAACTCCGGCCATGCAGTACACCCCATAAAATCTCCATCTGTTTTTAGCTTTGCCCTTTTAATTCTGTTCTTTTCTCTCTCTCTTTCATTTTTTCCCCTGTGGTGCAGGGGGTTGAACTCAGGGCCTCGAGCTTGTTAGGCAGGCACTCCACTGTTCGAGCCATGCACTCAGCCCTTTTGGCTTGGGTTTATTATTATTATTATTATGTCATTTTTACATTTACTCACATGTGTATACATTGTTTGGGCCTCCTCCCCTGCCCGCCCCGGCTTGGGTTATTTTTTAGATAGATTGCCCCTTTATGCTCAGCCAGCCTGGATCAAGATCCTCCTAGTCGTGCCTTCCTTATAGCTGGGATGACAGGCACACCGCGGTACCCAGCTTTTTTGGTTGAGACGGTAGGTAATCTCATGAACGTTTTGACTGGGCTGATTTCACCAGGAGAGCTTCCTGATGGCTGTCTCCCAAATAGCTAGGATTGTAGGCTACAGCCACTGGGCCTGGCCTTATTTTTGTTTTTTGACTGCACTAGAGTTTGAGATCAGGGCCTCACACTTGCTAGACAGGTGTTTACCACTTGATCTACTCTGTCAGCCCTTCAGCCCTTGTTTTGTTTTGTTTTTGAGACAGGGTCTTGATGTGTAGCCCAGGCTGGCTTTGAACTGAAATCCTCCAGCCTCAGCTTTCCAAAAGCTGGGGATATAGTCTTGCCACACCACATTAGACAGCTCTTACTTCTTTTCCCCCTCATTAAAAAAAAAGGTGGGAGTGCCAGCTGAGTGGCTCAAGCAGTAAGAGCACCTGCCCAGCAAGCATGAGGCTGAGTTCAAACTCCAATGCTGCCAAAAAAAAAAAAAGTAGGAGAATTGAGGTCCAAGGCTAGCTGGGTTTCCAGACTCTGATAAACAAACTACTAGGGAAAG